TGTGACTGGTGCTCATATCATCACATGTACTTGCTTAATAATATCTTCAATATTAGCTACCAATGAGGGCAATGAAATAGCCTCAACAAGAATCGCATCATTCTAGTCTAATACAGCATATTTCTTCAAGTGCTCGGGGATAGCGTCCTCAAGGCCCTTAGCCCTCAACCATGCCTTCGAGAACAATCGGCTCTGATAGCGGTAGGCACCGTCACAGAGGATGGTAGCGATAGTTTTGCCTGACACGAGCACTCGATTAGACCTACTTTGAATGACCAAAGAAATATGAGGGAACTGACCGGGACCAAGCTTCTGCGCCAACTCTACCGCGGCAACCACGTTCAACGCTGAACTCGCGCCGAGATACAAGCCCTCCGTATCCAAGAGGTCATACAACATCGCGATGCTCTTCTCGTCCGGTATGTGCAGGGCGCCATCCAGCTGCTTCACAAATGTGCCCAGGTTGTTCGTGATGCGTCCCTGTCCGATACCTATTGACCGTCGCACATCAGCATGTCTTCAATACCGCATACGCGCTACGTCAGGAAGGCATCTCACCCTCAGTAATCGAGCCCCCGCTCCGCTCCTTCAGCTTCCCCCCGCTCGTCACATAACTGTGCAACACGCTTCCTGGGGGGTCCGCAAGCCAAATCTGTGTCCTTCCGTCGCTCTTCTCCTTCAGCGCGCGCCCGACGCCTGCGAGCGTGCCCCCCGTCCCAGTCGCGCACACGAACGCGTCAACATCGCCCTGCGTCTGTTCCCAGATCTCGGGGCCCGTAGAGTGGTAGTGTGCCTCGGCGTTGGCGGTGTTGTCGAACTGGTCCGTCCAAATCGCGTTGTGCAGGGTCTCGGCGTAGTCCCGCGCCTGGTGATTGTAGTTCTTTGGGTCTTCGTACGCGACTGCGGGTACGGGGAAGACCTCCGCGCCCAGCATGCGGAGGAGGTCGATCTTTTCTTGACTCTGTCGTGTGACAAGTGGTATGCATGGACCGTCATGGAGAGCAAAAGGCGTGCAGAAGACATACCTGAGTGTTGGGCATGAAGATCACACAGTGGTATCCCCGTGCTCTGCATACATGCGCGAGACCGATACCAGTGTTCCCTGCAGTACCCTCCACAACAGTCCCTCCAGGCTTCAACCTACCCTATAATCAGTCACACTCCCCACGCGAAGAAAGGCAGTAGAGACCCGTCAGAGTAACACTCACAGACCCTGCGCCTCGGCATTCTGAATGACTCCCAGGGCTGCACGATCCTTCACGCTCCCGCCAGGATTCTGCAGCTCGCTCTTCGCGATAATGTTGCATCCGGTCTGCCGCGAAAGCTTCTCCAAGCGGATCTGCAGATGCCAACGCGCATCAGCAACATAAACGACATCAAGAGCAAGAGGTACTGACCAGAGGAGTATTTCCTATAGCACCGACGAAGCCATCAACCGGGCGAGACGGGAAGGCGCGCGTAAGCGGCTTCGCATGTACCCTCAACCCCAGCGCCGCAGACACAGACCGCGATATAGTCATAGAAGCCTTAGTAGTAGTGGTGGGAGGGAGGACGCAGCCTGCGCAGATATACGCCGCACCCTGAACTGAATTCCGAATTGAAAGCAGCAATGTGGGCCGTCTCAGTGGCCGAACTGTTCAGGCATCGAAGGCGTCATTATGAGCACCGTGTCCACCCGCGTCCCCGCCGGCGGACCGGAGGGCAGAACTTATGTAAATGCGCCCCGCGCGTGGCAGTTCTCTACCAACGGGTGGTTGAGATGCGTACTTAGAGAGTACAGGCCAGATAACCTCCGACAAAAGCGGAAGCAGTGCTTGACGGAGATCCGTTGTTGTATTGCAGAAAGGACAGGATGGTGATAGAGCACAGTCGGTAATAGGTCGGTCGGGACCGCATGGAAGGAAGCCTGAGCAAGACGAGACGATGTGCACGGAAACCGCAAAGCGAAGCGAGCAGCAGCTTATCCATTAAAAGCGCGAATACAGATGGTGTATCTTGGAGGCAAAAGGGGTAACCACGCATGAACACGAAGTGAAGCGGACAAAAAACTACGTAAGTAATGGTGGCTAAACGCGAGACGGAAATTGGGATAGGTAAGGGAGGCAGTGGTTGTAAAAGCGTGTGGACCAGTGTCCGTCGTGCGAGCGTGCGTGCGTCATGCGGGCCGTTACATAGTCAAGATCACCAGAGGGATGTGAGGGTATAGAGCAGAAGATGAGAGAGAACACAGCCGATTCCCGGACTGAAACGAGATACCCGCAGCGTACTCACTGCTGGCGCTTCTTCACGTTCTGCGAGAGCCATTGAAGGCCCTCGAAGAGACCCTCACCGGTCGTCGCGCAACTGACATATCTTTTAGAACCCAAAGAGAGCACCCCTTACAAGCGAAATGCGTACCTTGGGTGGACGTACCATGACCTGTCGCGCATCCGGTGGAGGCCCAACTTCTCGGTAACTTCTGCTGGTGACATAGCTACGCCGAATGAAGCATGAGCCGCCTTTTCATGCATAACAGCAACATGGCAACGTACCCCCAGGTAAATCCTGCTTGTTGGCAAAGACAAGCAAAAGACACTCCTTCATCTCCCGATCGCTCAGTATACGGTGGAGCTCCTGCTTCGCCTCGTCTATACGTTCGCGGTCCTGACTGTCGACGACGAACACGAGACCCTGGGTGCCGGTGTAGTAGTGCCTCCACAGTGGCCGGATCTTATCCTGCCCTCCGACGTCCCACACGTTGAACTTGACATTCTTGTACGTCACGGTCTCCACGTTAAAGCCCACTGTGAGTCGACAACAAACACGCATACCGTCAACCCGCGCGCCAGGCCTGCTAGCACACAGCACACGAAGGCGGACACGCACCTGTTGGGATGGTGGTAACTGACTGGTTCAGCTTCAGCTTGTACAGAATAGCTTGATACGCGAACAGTCAGTATCAGAAGACCGCAACGCAATATACGGCCAACTTACTGGTCTTTCCAGCCGCGTCCAGACCCAGCATCAACAGCCTCATCTCCTTGTTTCCGAAAATCTTGCCTGCAGACGCACAAAGAACAAATCAGCCCTCCATGTCACCTGTCCCCGGCCCAGCAGCTGTCGCCACACGACGCCCCCAGCGTCCGACCGGTCCCACAGCAAAATGTACGAGAGACGCACCGAGAGCCTTCGAGAGATTGGCACCCATGGCTGGCGGTGGCAGTGGAGAAGGTAACGAACGACGGGAGGTGGGAGAGAGAGGCAGAACGGAAAGGAGTCAACCAGTTTCGCGCGCCGCGTCCAACAGCGGACGGATCGCAAAGACGGTGCCCGCTGCAATCGACAGGACCCCGAAGACTCCAATCAGAACATTCATTGACAGCAAACACCGCCTATGCCTTTTACTTCGCCCTCCGACCAACCCCCTCGACGACGTCGACGGCGATGACTCCTGAGAATCGTTTGCGGTTTCTACGCGAGCACTTAGTGCCATAGGGAGCAGACAGCCGGACGCAAGCTTACGCTTCCCCGGATAAGCAGCAGATAGTATGCGAGGACATTATGAAGGCACGTAAGGTCTATCTAGCATGAGTACATAACACTCCAGGCGCAATGGTATACAAATGAACCCGTCAATTACACTTGCGAGATGTCCCAGACAGCGTGAAAATGAGCATAAAATGAAAAGCCATCCTCCGCCCCCCCGTGCAGCTATCATGACGGAGACGTAGTCGCATTCGCACGCGTCGGCGACCCGATCTGTGACTGGTTGAACACCTTCAACCACCCCTCGCCCATATCCGACCGCAGCGCCTCGATCCGCGCGCGGAACGCATCTGCCTCCTCGAACTGGTTCCCGCTCTCCTTCCCTCCCGCGTTACCGGGCTCGTACACCGACGCGGAGACACGGGCGCGCCGAGCCTGTGCGCGCGAGAGAGTCGATGACTTGCGGTGCCCGATCATGCGGCCCTCGGGCAGGGAGGCAAACGCGTCGTCGGCTTCGGTGGTGGGGGAGGGCGCAGTGTGCGCGAACTCGGTCATGTGCCGGCTGTGTCGTGATTTGGGCTTCACGAATGTTGTTGGTGTTGGCTGCGGCGGGGGCGAGGAAGGGGGGCTGAACGCGCTCGGAGGCGCACGCGTCGGAGTGGGTAGAGGAGCGAGGGCTTCCTGCGTAGAAGGCGCTGGGGCTGGGGCCGGAACCTGGATATGAGTGGGGGCTCCATTTCGCTGCGCGGGGCTGATCGTTCTCGAAGCAGTGGGGCGCGGCACGCTCTTTACGCTCGCCGCCTCGCTCGCCTCCTGGCCTCCGTCCAGATCCACTATCCGCTTGTTCTTCTTCCTGCGCCCGCGTGCATGCCCTGCGGCAGGGTGGGGAAAAGCTGGATGTGATGGGTGCGATGCTGGTGAAGAATTGGGGGAGGCGTGGAGGGGACTGCCTTGCGCGTGCGCAACCCCATTAGTCTTTGACGGACTTCCGACAGCCACAACAGGTGGGGAGTACGCGACGGATGGAGGCCGCGTGGAGGTCATCTGCTCGGGCGGGGGCGAAGTGAGATGGCGTTTCTCGTAGAAGCCTGGAGCCGAGCCGTCGAGGAGGACGCTCTTCTTCTCCTTCCAAAAGAAGTCAAAGCAGCGTATCCGATAGTCTTCTTCGATCTCCACAAGCGGATTGCCCTCCACGGACACCTCCGAGATATTAGGAAGAGTGGCAAGCCGACCGACTTCCGCGCTCTCCTCGATGAGATTGTGCCGGAGGTCCACGCGCTCAAGAGCATACAGTCGCTCGAGCCCACATATAGACTCAAGGCGGTTGTTGGATAGGTTGAGCGTCACGACACCACCCAGGTTGGTGTAGATGCCCAAGACAGAGTCGATCATGTTGTCGGAAAGATTGAGGCAGATGAGGTTGTATAGAGCTGATAGACCGGCAGGGACGGAGACGAGTAGGTTGGAAGATAGATCGAGATGTGTCACAGACGTGAGATAAGATAGGAAAGAAGTCGGAAGGAATGTGAGGGAGTTGTCGGCGAGAGAAAGGTGTCGCAAGAGAGACCAGGCGGACGAAGGGAGTTCTGAGGAGAGTGGCTTGGGCGTATCTAGAGTAGGGGACTCTGCATCCGCATCCGCATCCTCGCCCTCAGCATCCTCAGGTACGGACTCGGGAAGCTGCGTGCTATGGAACGATGACTGGCGGGAGACACCGCGGGATAGTTTCCTCGATTTGAGAGAGCTCACCCGGCCTTCTCGTCTCGCCTGGTCATCCTTCACAGCACCGATAAAGATGTCAGAAACGTCCTCCAGCCCACTCCTTGTCACCGTTAGACTTCGCAAACTGCTCGCTAACTTATCCCAGCCGAGTATTGTCCGCGGATCGATGTCGATGCACTGTAGCGTCTGCAGGTTCTTGAACGCTTCGAATGGTAGCGCGTTCTCAATTGGCGAGTCCTTCGCAAGCTCAGCGATGAGCCTCGGCTCGGGTGCGTGGAGAGAAAGGGCGGGAATGACGTTGAAGCTCCTGTAGATATACCTGAGCTCTGCGTCAACGGTAGGTGGAGGCGGTCTACCAAACCAGCCAGCACCAAGTGATAAGCGAGAGACGGCGGAAAGAGATGAGCGCAGGGACACGAAGGAAAGGGCATCCGACTTGTCTCCATTCGTGGGGAGTGAGATGTAGTTCATAGGACGCGAGGGGCTATCGACCTTGATATCGAGAGAGCCGACTTGGTAGCCCAAGGCCTCCATACGCATGAGGAGGTAGAAGAGGTGATGGAAATCGAACGCGAGCACGACGGGCTTCGCGTTCGCCACGGCATTAGGATTGGAGGCGAACCAGCCTAGGGGGTTAAGGACGGAGACCTCGGATGGCTTGGAGACCTTTGATGGTCGTCTCCGGAGAGGGGCCGCCGCTGCAAGTCCGGCTTCATGCGTGCGGATGTATTCCGCTATGCGTCGTATGTACTCGTCTCCTGGCTCGGGCTCCATGGTCGTCAAGAAAGATGGAAAGGTAGGGATACGGGGGCAAAGGCGTGCAACGTGAAATCCAGGTCGAGTGTGGGCTGAGTTCGCTAATTAAGGGTGCATGGAATGACGCGCCGGAGTCGACCCCGAACACCGAGCTACACAACGTGGATGACGAGCCGTTAATGCTAGCTTGGCTCGCTAATGAGATGCGTGCATACCTGCAGAAGACGGACACGAGCAATCAGCGGTGGCGAGCACGCGGAAGGACAACGTGCAGCAATGCAAGGTGTAGTGGCCGTTGGGAGCAAGTGTGCTGCGCCGAGCTTGCTCCGGGCGCGCCGTCCCCCAAAGCGGGCAGAGGTAGAGCACGTATCACGTGCCTGGGACGCGTCAGTGCACCTCCACTCACAGTACTAGGGCGCCTAGCACGCCTTTCTCCCGACTCTCATCTCTCCACAGCCATGAAAATCACCGTTAAGACACTACAGCAGAAGGTCTTCCAGGTATGCAGACACGTCGCGCGCTTTGGCGTTCAAAGTAGACTCTCATGGATTTGACTAGATCGATGCGGAAGGCTCAGATACTGTAGGCGATTTGAAGAGGAAGATTCAGGAGACCCAGGGCCATGCACTCGAAAGTCAGAAATTGATCTACTCTGGTAAGTTGCCCTCAGCGATGCAGGACGCTCTCATCTGAGTCGGGGATAGGCAAGGTGCTGCCTGACTCCAAGACGGTGGAATCATGTGAGATCAAGGAGAAGGATTTCTTGGTGCTCATGGTCTCAAAGGTGTGTCTTCACTTCATAATTGGCATCGTGTCCTCCCTCGAACCCATTGTCTTCCTCTAGCCAAAGCCGGCTCCCTCTAATGCCCCACCGGTCACAAGCGGTGCTCCTGTCGCTGCCGCACCACCCGCTGCTGCCGCCCCTGCGCCTGTTCCCCAAGCCACCTCGTCTGCTACTGCCCTTGCCCCTGCCCCTGCTGCCCCTCAGCCACCGAACGCGCCTATCCTCACTCCTGCTCAGGCTGCACCTATCGAGGGTGCCGCGCCCGTCCCTGCCGGAGATGGCTCCTTCCTAACAGGAGAGGCACTCCAGTCAACCGTTAACAATATGATCGAAATGGGATTCGAGCGCGAGCAAGTCATGCGTGCGCTTCGCGCGAGTTTCAACAACCCCGAGCGTGCAGTCGAATACCTTTTCAACGTATGATTGCTTTAACTCATAATCACGCAAAGTATCTCGTGCTGACAAATCGGGTCGGAATGCAGGGCATTCCCGCACATCTCGAGCACATGGCCTCAGCGGCCCCCGCGGCCCCCGCACTGCCCGCCGCACAGGGCCAGCCGTCCGTCGCGACCCCAGCCCAGCCCGCGCAACCCGTAGCCCAGCAGCCAGCCCAGCAGCCGGCCGCTCAGCCCCAAAACCTCTTCCAGCTCGCCCAGCAGCAACAGCAGCAGGCGGCACACCCTGGAGTAGGGGCCGGTCTTGGCGGTGCAGGCGGTGGGGGCTCCCTCGCGGACCACCCGCAAATTCAGCACCTCCGCCAGCTGATGCAGCAGAATCCCCAGCTCGCGCAGCCGATCATTCAGGAGCTTGCCGCGCAGAATCCGGGGCTCGCGCAGGTGCTTGGGCAGAACCCCGAGATGCTCGCGCAGCTGCTCAGTGGGGCGCTTGCGGGCGAGGGCGACGAAGGTGGCGATATCCCTCCTGGGGCGCAGGTCGTGCACGTCACTGAGGAGGAGCGCGCGGCGATCGAACGCGTACGTTATAATCGAGCTCTTGTCTTTTGGTTTGCGGTGCGTGACTGATGATCGTTTTTGCTTGGATGTAGTTGGAGGCACTTGGTTTCCCCAGGCAAGCCGTGATCGAGGCGTACTTTGCGTGTGACAAGAACGAAGAGCTCGCGGCGAATTACCTGTTCGATGGCGCATTCGATGACCAGGGAGAGCCGTAAGCGTTCTGTTACGTTCCGGGCCAGTTCGCGATGTACGAGCGAGGATTATACAGACGACTATGTAGCTATTTCCTGTGTATCATTGCATCTCAAGGCATCACTTCCATAACCGTTACTCGATTGCGACACTGCCGGCGCAATGGAAGACGGGGGCGCCACGACCGTCATCTAGACCAGTCGTTCGCCGCATTGATCCTGAACACTACCGGTAGGGTTCCCTCCTACGTTGAAGGACCGAAGGGTATTCGTACATACATCGTGCAATGTCATAGTGCGAGTCGTACGCTACGTTGCGCCGCGTGCATGGCGCGTTAGCGGAGTATACAGACATGGTACATGCAGCCAAGTAGCTTCTTGGTCTCTGTCGCAACCTCTGAGACTTGGAATGGTATCATGCGTCTGCTACCGTAAGCGATCTGTAGATTGCGATGTTGATTAAGTTGGCAGAGCTTCCATCCTCAGCAAGGAGCGTTATATCTTCGAGGTCCGTTAGTACGTCCGTGAGTTCTTCCGCGCGCGCCGACGCCCAAACCAGCTGGCAAATCGCAGCATGTAGCGCCAGATACATCGGGTTCGGAAGCGGGGCGTCCGTCGAGGTGAAGAGCTTCACGGTCTTGGGCAGACCGAGACGCGGGGCGACCTTCCCCCAGGTGAGGACCTTGTACGTGTTGGCTGCGTCCGGAACGGGTTCCAGCGCGACCTGGAGCTCCGTGAAATATCGGTGGAGGCTGTCGAGACAGGATGAGACGTTCAGCGATCGGTCATCGGCACGGAATTAGGGTCACGAGAGAGCGTAACAGGTCGAACTATAGGAGGCGAGGCTCTAGACTCACGTCGCAGAAAGAGTTATGACGTTGTCGAGTGAGTTGATCCCGTTGTGCATGAGCTTGGCAAGGCTGATGCCCCCAAAGCACTCCAGCGCGCACCAGATGGAGGGGATGTGGGCGGCGGACGCGGAGTCGCAGCCCGAAGAGTAGCCAACGCTGTTGCGGAGGGAGAAGGGGATGATGTGCGCTACGCGTGTAACTTCATACCCTGTCCCGGTGAGCGATCCTGGTCTATGGGGGTGAGACAGATACGTTAGTATTCTCTGCTAGAGTGATTGAGGGTGGCAAAGAGAGCGGAAGACAAGTCGTACTCATATACAATCGACCCGCGAATGAGTAATGGTTATCTCACCGTGGTTCGTACTGATGCGTGCAGGGAATAATGCAAGGATACAATCCCTCATAGACAAAGTACTGACCCATTTGCGACAGTCTCTGGGTCGACTTTCCCTGTAACGACGCATCTGTAGCGATCTCGTTCGAGTGTCTACCACATCTTCTCCGTGAGTCCTGAGACAAAGATGAATATTTTGTGAGACTGAACGTACGGCCTTTATAACCCCTTGCAGAGCATTGACTGCCTCCATCCCGGGTGAGTGTGAAGCGTCCGCGGAGGCGATGCCGCTGTGAGACATCCTGCTTCGAGGCTGGGGTGTCCTGCCTCCCGAGACGCGCACTGCAGATTAATGTGAGCTACGTATGCTTTTTGAGAGGGAGGCACCACGAACCAGGGACAATGATATTGCGCCAGAAAAAGTCGGCCAGCTGGGCGAAATGGCAGCTGTCCAGTCTCCTGGCCTCCTTGTACGCATCCCCGCAATGGATGATTTTGCTAGCCACATTCACTCTACCTTCCTCATTGGGGGCACATCGGAGGACAGCCAGGAGAAGATCCTGGTCACGCTTCGAAGCGTGCTGGCGCACTGCGAGTGCTGCACGATTAGTGAGTGTGTCAGAGATCTCGGAAGGCATGTCGGCCTTGATAGACTCGCCGTCAATGGAGCTCGAGATGTGTTAAATATCAGTCAGAGCCGAGGTCCGGGGGCATAACTCTCACGGGACCTAACATTCGTGCTCTTGTTGAAGTGATCGAATGATCGCAGACCTTGGAATGGAGAAGCGTGCGCTTACTTACTCCTAGCTAAGTGGCGGTGTGTGGCAGCCTAGAACCTAGCGGTAGGCGTTGCGTCGGGGGTTATGATGCTCAGCCATCGTAATAGGACAGTCCGTCGGCTGAACTCGGTTGCCTTTATTCCAGACGTTTATGGAGCTGTTCGTATTGCCTGGGTCCCATACGACGATAGTCCGACGGAGAGCCAATGGTCGGTCGTCTCAATGAAGGTGTCTCTCAGGTGGGAAGCAAAATACTCATTTGTGGATGCTTAAGCATCGTCTTGCAGATTGGTTCTAGCTCTTACTGTGAAGCGCCGGTAACAGTTCGCAGGCGATACGGCAGTTGGTGAGCAAAGTGGAGCAGAGTGGTATTTCATGAAGTGGAAAAGAGGTGACCTGCACGGGATGTAGATGATCATTCAGTGTGCATCGAGCGTAGTCCGAAGAGACTGGACCTCGTCCTTCAATTCCTCAATTTTCACCTTCCTCTCGGCCACCTGCTTCTCGAGGGCCGAACATGCAGCTTCTGACACTGCAACGACACGGTCGTCCATTGTCTGTGTCAGAGTAGTCTGGGCGAAACGACAAGGGTTAGCAGGTCCGTTATATGCTCGCAAGCACCCGTCGCAGACTGACCTTCAAGTCCCTCTCAAGTCCCTCGCCAACACGATCCCAATCCTTCCACCACCGCCTCTTTGCCTTCTCCCATCGTCCAACGGCCCATCGTACACCCACAGCGGTACCTAGCATCCCCACCCCCAGCGCGGTTTCTGTGCTCATGCCAACGTCGACCATTCCCCCGAACATCTGGAGCTCCGTCGCCCATCCCGCCCATGCGACCCCAAGGCCGCTGAGAATGCTGCCGCTCATACCGACGACGGCGCGCTGCGCCGACACGTGCAGGCGTTCGGTGGGGAAGCCGAGTTGACTTTGGCGGGCGTGGAGAGGGGAGGTGAGCGCTGTCGCGGTAACAGCGTAAGATGGAGTCGCGGCGATGCGCGCGAGGGTGTTGTGCAGGACAGGGGAGTGGTAGGGCGAGTTGACAGGGAAGGAGCGCGCGAGGGCATTCGCAGAGTCCGTGAAGGTGGTTTGTAGCGATGCCAAACGGCCTGCGTGGAACACGAGCTGTTGTATTAAGATCAGCGGAGAGAGTACACAAATACGACGCAGGAAGACATACCTTTCGTTCCAGATCTCTGCACCAGGCGCGGTCGACAGCGGCAATTACGACCTCGCGCACGTCGTCGACCCTCCAGAAGAGCTTGTACCACTGTAGTGCATCCATCGTGGGCTTTATGCTCCGCTTCGCCTGGGCGACCGCCTTTGCGATCTCGTCACCATCCTGGCCCCCTGCGCCGAACACTTCTAGATGCGCCTTGGCTTTCGCCTCCTCCATCTGCCCCCGTAGCTCGCTCGTCGCCGTCAGGGCTGCGTTGGCCTCAAGCTCGGCTTTGTGGAGTACAGCTTGAGCGGTTGCAAGAGCGTCCTTGATGAGGGCGCGGCCAGTTTGTGCGTGGATAGCAGTAACCTGTGCGGAGGCAGACGTGCCTGAAACACTCGAAAGGATATCCTTCACGGCGTTTGTGATGCTAGCTACATTAGAACCTGAGACATCGTCTTGATACCGTTGTACGGACAGAGGGGACGCGATGCCGTCAGCGAGAACTTGCAACCCGTGAAGTGCTCGAGAAGGGTCTACGAATATGACGTGCAAGTTTTCTTGCGAGCTGAGCGGGCTCACCCGGGAATGTTGGGCAGCCGTAGCGGGGTACGCCGGAGAAGGTGAGAGCACAGCAAGAATTGCGTTTTCACGTGAGAGGGGAAGAGGAGGGTCCGAAGAGACAGGGAGGATGGATGCTAGAGGAGTCGACACGGGATCGCACAGGATGATGGGTACATCAGCCGTGAACAATAGTTTTGCACTTTCCGTGTCGGATGAGGGGGAAGGCACAGAATGCTTGAATTCCGTGATCTCTATTGGAACGTTGAACTGTTGGAGCCATGAAGATTGGACGATTATGACGTCCTCGTCCAGAGAAGGAGAGGTGCCGTATCTGGCGTAAGGAGATGAACGTTGAGCAGAATAACTACAGACCTTGAGGACGTACTGGATTTTGACCATTCGGTTGCTCTCGGACTGTGCGCTCCATCGCGAGCGCAGGATAGCCCTCTGCTCGTCCGACACGAACGGGTCTTCTAGGATAGCAATAACCAGCTCGTTCGCACTAGACCTCCTGTCGACGCCATACACTACACAGTTGATATGAGCACTTACGCTAGCGATCTCCCAGTGGCTCTGGAATCATCATATAGTGAAGCACGCACCGACGACCCTCACCCTATCCTTTTCCCGCTTCTCCGGCGCAAGCGTCAAGTCATCATACACCTTCCCCAGAACCTCCTCCCAGAAATGTAGCGACTCCCGTAACGACACACCATTTGGACTAGGTCGCGCACTAGGTAGTACACGTGGAAGGAGTGCTGTGGTTTTGTGTAGGGCGGTCAGCACTTGCGCCCGTTGGTCTTCGTGCTTGCCCGGAGCCGCCGTTGCCGTAGAGGCGCGTCGAACACTGCAGGCTGTCGTTCGACACCGGCGCACATTCCTGTGTATGGATTGCCCTAGCCTCGAAGTTGAAGAGCTATGAAGTTGTGCTGAAGAGCGGAGAAGGCCAGAGGACGAGGCCAGACATGTCGGCATGGATGAAAGTCGCGATCATAGCGAGACGCGCCCGATGACACGACTCACTTGCAGGCTCCTCCTGGACACCCATGCGTGTTCCCCTTGCTCAACCTCGCAAAACATCGCAACTTCGTAGATGTTATAACGCCTATGATATAGTCCATCCCAAAAAATACCGATACACATTACACGCGCAGTATAATATACTACTGTACGGTCACTCGCCAGTGACTACAATCTTTGGCGGGGGCGGTGGAGGCGGGCCTGCTCGGCCCTGCGGTGTGCGATCGTCCTCCTCGTCGCTCTCCTCCCCTATATCAAACAAGTCCTCCCGTTCATCCCACACGTCTGAGAGCCTTGTCGCTTTGGCAACGGATGAGCGGTTCGGAGTGGTGGGTTTGGTGGCCGACGCGGGGGTGTTCGGCTGGTTGTGGAGGGGCAGGAGTTGCGTTCCTGAGGCATCGTCGTCTTCCTCGTCGTCTGAAGGGATAGAATCGGTATCAAGTGGACGGTATAGACGGTGGATCTGTCAGCGTAGAGATGTAAGCAGATGGTCCGAACCGGGCTATGACGGATACTCGGCGTACTTCGCGTCTATGCCTGTAGTACCGCTCGAGGTGATAGGCGATGTATAGCCCCAGCGTTGAGCCCAGCAGGTTAGCCTAATAACACGTTGTGTGAAAGGGGAACGGGAGAACTGTGGTATATCGGCCGACGACTTACCGCAACATCGCCGACCTGGAACTCTTTGTACTGCAATGCAGTTTAGCGTTTCATCACGCGCAACATACAGGGAAAGCAACGTACCGGGAGCATGGACTGGACGAACTCACTGACGATGCCCCCAAGGAAGAAGCATACCACGCCGGTGAATATTAGGGGCGCACTGCGCCAGAACCATATACGTCTTGCATCTCTGAATGCATACGGAAGGATTGTTGAAGAATCCAGAGACTCAGAAGTCTAGCGACTTACTCTTCGACATCGAAGATGAAGTAGAAGACGCCGGTAGCAAGGCCCATGCAAAGGAAGTGCAGTAGTTTGTCATTGAGAGGCAGTGAGTGTGAGACGTTGGTGAAGCCAAGGAACGCCAGGCTGAGGAGGACGAGACAAGTGAAGACCAAAAACCACTGGCCGCATGACGCCTGGTCAATGTCCGCGCGAGAGTGTAACGCGCTGTGAACGACGTACTGGTCGCAAACGGAGCGGCAGGTCGTACTTTGGTATTCGGAAGTGATGCGAACGCATGACGGCCTTGTTCACCTTGCGGACCGCTTTACGAGACCGGCGGGCAGTTTGTGTCCAGGTGGACTCGTCGGACGAGTTACCATCGGGAAGACCAAGCATAGCTGAAACAACCTTTCAGCATGCACCTAGTGGTGTTATTGCCAGAGAGGCGTGTGCTAGGAGTGCACAGACGAAACCTAGGAATGATGTAGAGAACGTCAGCGAAAGAGGAGGAGACGGTGGCCACAGGACGGCGGAAGGAGGACTGCTCATCGGCTGTGCCCCGGCAGCCGTTATGCGCGACCGCTGACGTTATTCTCTAAATAAGTCTAAACGTTGCTCATAATAAACGCGTTATCCGAGGCGTCATTATCCCAGAATTGCCCGCATAACTTTGGCACAGCTCCCACCGCGACGATGGCGGCTCTCCGACACCCGAGCTCATGTCTGCGTGCATCCTCCAAGTCGCCCGCCTGCCTCTGTTGTCACTCAGGCTGCAGTCGAAACCAGCGCATCTGCTCCGAACCATGTCAATCAGCTCCGGCACGATTCAGTCGACACTCGGCGGATTCTCCACTTGCGAGATATCCGACGCCCTGATCAAACTAGGCTCGCCGCACGGTGGATACATCCCAGACATAAACATGCTCTCCCCATCCGACCGCAGCGATCGCATCTGCGGGCCCGCTTACACGGTCCAGATGGTTCTTGGTTCCAACAAAGACGCGCCCAAGCTGTCTGCGCATTTTGTGGACACCGCGTCGGAAGGCTCGGTCATTGTCATCAACACGCCAGAACGTTCAGTACCATTTTTGTGCATTGCATTGATTACTAGGCTGAAAGGATGAATCATTTGCATCGCGATGCACAGGTGTGAAGAACGCGGTGTGGGGCGGCTTGATGACCGCCGGAGCCCAGTCGCGGGGCGCCCTCGGCGTGGTTATCTCTGGTCGATGCAGGGACCTCGCCGAGCACCGCGAAGCGTCGTTCCCCGTCTTCGCGAGGGGCCACTCTACACTAGGGCAGTCGCCTTTTACTCGCCCATCGGAGGTCAACGTCCCTCTCGTGATCCGTTCCCCGGACGTATCTGATCAGGAGTTCCCGCCGGTCCGAGTGGAGCCTGGGGACTGGGTAATTGCGGACGAGGACGGCGTAGTTTGTGTCCCTGCCGAGAAGGCAGAGGAGGTTATAGGCCTGGCTATGAAGGGAAGAGAAGTCGATGCGCGTTGCCTGGAGGATATCAAAGCGGGGAAGGGTGTCCAGGAAGCCTTCAAGAAGCATCGCGGAAAGTAGATGCCACTGCTGTATACCCAAACGGAAGGATTTCAGAGTAGTCAGGTAGGCTCCCGAGTTTGAGATGCGTCAGAGTCCGATGCTCACTGCGTATCCCTACAGTCTACGATAGGCCTGTAGAACGACTGCTTCGTAAGCTATGTCGTCAGGGGAATAGTAGCTGGATAGTTGATGTTATGGTAGATTACTGTCGTGGAGGGAAGATACATGTTCTGTGCAACATATCGTAAGGCTACATAAGTGCCGGCCGTTTTGGCCGCGCAGTGTGCTCAACGCATACAACAGAAACAAAGGTAATAAAGATACAAGATGTCTGCCCGAGCCAGAGGCATACTGCTGTGTTGTCCGTACGACCGTGATCGAAATTAATAGTAAATCCCACAATATACCATACGGAACGACCTTCGCAGCCTGAGCACAACCACTCGTAGCGTACGAAGGCTGATCGTTTGCCATCGAGGTGCCTTCGTGCAAGATCGCCATCAGGGCATGAGTCCCATGGTCAGCCCCATCCTCGAGCGCGAATGACAGTGCCTCCGTCTCGGTCGAGTAGAAGCCGATCACCATGTGCGAATGCTTCTTGAGCGGGGGGCCGGCGCAGGAAGCACGGTCGAGGTGGTAGAGGACGGAGACGTTGTACGCCCTGGCATCCATGTACGCGAGGTACGGCCAGAGATTGAGGACCGACTCGTTACGGAGGACGACGGCGTAGATAGGGTCAGCGTTCGCTTGAGTGGCACCCGCCCCCGCTGACTTTCCGCTCCTGTGCGTGCTGCTGTCGTGGAATTGGTTGAGACCGTGGCTGTAGCTGTGGTCGTGGTGGACAAATCACGCCTGCCCTATGAAAAGAAGGTTACCGCTGACTCACGTCCAGGTGTCAAGGTCGACAGAGCTCTATGCTTACCTTACTAGAGAATGGTCGTGCCGGATGCTTGCGGTACAAAAGCATGTGGAACCGGCCCGCCGCGGACTCCATCGTTTTGACGTCCGTGCGCGTGTCTTCGTTGGCGATGCGAAGCTTGTCGCCGCAGTTCTCAGAAATGAGCGGGTCACGCCGCACTGCGCCGAGCTCCTTCCCTCTGAATCTCAGGTGCACCGACAGATCAGCGTCGTCCACGCTGGTCGAGCCGAGGATCCCGATCCCGGCCTTCTCCACTAGTGCAGCCGAGGTCGCAGGATTCCCGCGCGCGAGACGTGAGCGGCGGAAGAAGGAGCAGAGGGAGTACCGAACGTCGACGCGAAATGGTGTGGGGTTATTCCAACGGGTAACCCTTGCCCAGCCGTCGCGCTGGATCTGCTTCGCGGGCGTCTTGGGACGGGCGAGGCACCACGTGGGGAACACCTGCGTCGCGACGTAACTGCCCAGCTGGCTGTTAAGTGAGCCCTTGCGATTGTGCGCGTGCAGAGCGAACTCTGTGCCAACTGACACTCCATGCATCTCGCCCGCATCGACTTGAACGTACTCGTTGTTGTAGGGTGAAACCGCGACGAAGCGGCCATCACAGGAGAAGGGGACCCCGTCGAAGAGAATGCGGTCGACATTCACACCTGCGCAAGCCGCGTGCTGATGGTCGCCCATGTACGGAGCGAGCTCGTGTGGGAGGTCAGCGTAGGTGAGTTTGTGGAGCGGACGGGCATCCTTCAGTGATAGGAGGGCACGGGTGAAGTTCCCTCCGTCCTTACGTTCCGTCGCAGACCATCCGGAGCCACTCGCAGCAAGGACGACGTGCGATTTGACGGTAATTCCGGTGAAGCCTCGGTTGGCCACGGGCTCGGTCTTCTGCGGGGAGGCGCTCCGCCAGAAACCTGCCAGCAGGTCTTCGGACCTGGCTTTACGTGTGGGGGTGTAGCGGGTATAGCGGCGCTCCTTGGAATCGTCGTCACTGGCGGGCGGGGGGCAGAAGCAGGTATCCAGGATGAGGGTGATGTTGTCGCCTTTCACTTGGGCGAGGTCTTGAAGCATGGCGTGGAGGGAGCGGTTGGAGATGCCAGCGTTTGTATGGCCTTTGGGCAGCTTCGTGTCATAGTCGTAAGTGCAGAGAACAGGGACGTCGCTGCGGCCCTGGTCGAACCAACCAGGGGGCGCGCGAATGCTGCTACCATGTCCTGCAAAATAGACGATGAGTGCATCGCCGGGTTCGATGGCGGGGTTGTTGACGAGGTGGTTCATGAAACGTTCCTCAATCTGACGCTTGGTTGCCTGAGCGTCGATGAGGGTGCAGATGTGATCACGCGGGACCTGGAGGTCGTTCGTAAGCCAACGCTCAACGCTCTGTGCGTCGTCTACAGCGGCGTTGAGGTTCCAGATGTTGCCGGACTGGTACTTGTCGATTCCGACGAGGAGTGCAAAGACTTGTCCAGACATGGCCTAGGACGATAGTGTCAGCACGGGGATACTATCGCCCACAGGCGACTTACCATGAACAAGTATCGTCTTTTAGGTCGTCAGACGTAGACTGGATTGGTGGACGTGAGGTAGAGAAATGCAGATCAGTGACTTCTGAAGAGCCTGAAAGTCGTCTGAAGCCTTTATACGCGTCGCCGTGCATGCCACAGCGTACACGGGTGCCATGCGCGATGTATTAGGTTTCATAGTATCATCGTCCTGGGCCATGATCCACAGAGTGCGCGTCCAGCGCAGTATAGCAAACGCCGACAGACGTCTCTCATGTGCCTCGTCGAGGGCGCATAGATCTACGACGCTCCAGAATCATCAGCCGGCGAGGCGAAGTACGCGCTTGCGGGACGACGTAGGACGCAGCACTCACGGGAGATCCACGGAGGACTCAGACGGAAATATGAGATAACGGAAGACTTGAAGCGGAAACGAGCGCATCGTGAACAAATGACGGAGAAACGCCGCTATAGCTAGTAGCTAGTCAAAACGTCACACACAACTCGAATACGCACCTCGGACTCAGACAACCACCAAATCAGCGTGAGATGAATAGGGCACCAACTCAAGTATTTGCCAGCATGGACTCGTTCCTCTCATGGATTGGACCATTTAGAGCACATCTAATCAACTTCAGCTACTGGGAGTTCCAACTTCAGAAGACTCGCAAGTTAAGGTTCCGGTTATGGGGGAAGAGGGACAATTCGCTGGGTTGCAACTTGCAACTTACTTACCAACGAGAAGCGCTCAGGCCCGACTACCGGCCACCAGCAAGCGAGCCTTAGGCGCTTATATGTACCTCTCAAGCCACCACCAACGTAGTGGCGCAAGCACATTCAACACAGTGCAGTATGTTCGAGTTACGCTGCTAGATATCAATTAGAGCATCTAACAAAAGCTAGCTGTAGCCACAGACCTAGGACGCGATTCGCCTTGTATCTTGTCAGGATATCACTTTCCCACTTCTTTGCCTTAACTATCCAACATGAATCTCGTGTGTCAGCAATGCAAGCAACCATTGCAAGTGAGCTAAAGTCACACTTCAGCGTCTGAGATAAGGCCTAACATCTTGCCCCTCTCTTCAGCTAGACGCCTCGCTAGTTGACCTCGCTCCATCAGCATATGACATTGTTGCTTCGTCCCTGCCACCAGCAACCACATCGTCTCCTATAAGACAAGCTTCTGGAGCGGAGAAACTTGCGCAACTCCCATCGCCATCCTCGGCCAAAGCAGCATGGAGAAATTCCGTCCAAGGGTCAACTTCTTCTGCCTTGTCGTCACCCACGACGCAGCGGAAGCAGACACAACGTGGGCCATCACACCCCAATGAGTCATTTGTGCTACTGCAGGACAGCGTTATCCGCACTATCCCCACCAATCTCCCTCTAACTCCGCACGCGAAGAAGTCGTCAGTCTCCAAGTCGCGAAGCACGACCGTAGCGGTGCCGCCCGCCCCTGCACCCGAGGAGCCTTCCCCCCATCCAAACCCCTCGCCCCTCTCACACCATCTGCGCTCTTCATTGCGTCTATTTAATCTTCTATCGAGCCGCACGGACCTCGACCACCCCCTTTGCGCCGAGTGCACGCATATACTCCTTGGGACGCTCACGCGACAGCTCGAAGAGACGAAGAAGGAGCGAGACGGGTACATCGCGTTCGAAAAAGAGGTTCGGAAGGAGAAGGAGCGTGAAAGCGCAGCAGGGACTGGAAAGGCCGAGGTCGAGGGCAAGATCGAGCGGCTGAAGGATGAAGAGCGACTGGCGATCGAGCAGCTAAAGGCTGCGGAACGAGAGCGACAGCAGCTGGAAGAGGAACTCAAGAACCTCGAGCATGAGGAGACCGCACTCGAAGAGGAGGAGGCGGAGTGCGTGTCTCTCGTCTAGACCCACAGCCGCTGTCACGCGGGATTGACCCATACCTGATAGGTTCTGGCGCCAGCACAATGCGCACTTGCTGAAGTCTGCGGAGCAGGCGTCGCAGCTGGCGGCGCTACGTGCGGCCTATGCTGCAGATTCCGCTGTGCTCGACAAGCTCGAACGAACGAACGTGTACAACGACGCCTTCTGCATAGGACACGACGGCGTCTTTGGCACCATCAATGGTCTGCGACTCGGGCGCGTCCCAGGAGTACCGGTGAGTAGCAGATTGCTTACAATAGCAGGATTTTTGCCTGACGCCTGTACAGGTTGAATGGGCTGAAATCAATGCGGCTTGGGGCCAGACGCTGTTGCTGCTATATACAATCGCGCGCAAACTCGACTTCACCTTCGAGAAGTATGTAGCAAAGCATATCCCTCTCGGAGTTTACTGAACACTAGGGCCCAAACGCTTAGCTACCGGCTTGTTCCCATGGGCTCGTTCTCCCGGATAGAGAAGACCACCGGTGACAAAGCAACGTACGAGTTGTACGGCTCGGGCGATCTGCACTTCGGACGACTCCTTCACAACCGCCGTTTCGACTTCGCGATGGTGGCGTTCCTTGATTGCCTCAAGCAGCTCATGGACTATGTGAAGTCCCAGGACCCTCAAGTCGATTTTCCACACCAGTCAGTCATGCCTCGGAGCTCATGTGATCCGCACGGACGTGTCTAACGGTCATCCGTGTCTCCGCAGAATTGTGAAGGACAAGATTGGCGAAGCGTCTGTGAAGCAGCAATTCAGCCAGGAGGAAGCGTGGACACGCGCCCTGCGGCACGTCCTTCTAGCCCTGAAGATTCTACTCAAGTGGACGACGAACGGCAGTAACGGCTGACAAGAGGCCTCTCACTTCGTAACGCGTTTGTACCTAGTCACTTATCACACACATTGGCTTGTGGATAGTATGTTCATTGAGTGATCGTATTCCCGAGCCGGTTCCCGTATGTGATGGCTCAAGGTCAGTCCAGCTCGAATTCAGTGGAGGGGCTGTCGGCAATCGGAGCGGTTCATCCTGCGGCAGTCGGCCATGTTGGTGCGCGATCGAACTCCGGCGGGAACGCGCGAGCCTCATGTTTACGTATCGGCGTCCATCTATGCCACCGCAGTCTGTCGGACCCCTGCCAATGTTCCATCCCTACTCGACATACCCACAGCCGCAGCGATACTCTGTAGGGTCTGCTCAGTTGGTGTGCTAACGAGGATCTGGAGAGCTCTGGAGATGTGACATTCCGCCAGAACCGGACCGGTTCAGATTGTTTCCCCGGCAGTCCACGCGGATTGCGACGACTTACACCATAGCTGAGTCAGGCCGGCCAAGCAAGGCCAAAAAGCGCATTTGCATGTTTGTCAGCTCGACTTCCCCTGAACGCTATATCGAGTCTCTGGCCTGCTTGGGCCGTCCGTATCTGCCGCAGGCATCCGCTCAACTTTGAATATCGTCCGCCGGGACTGCAGCTTGATCGCAATGGGTCTCCTCTTCCTCGGAACGCCTCTTCAATGGGATGAGGCCAAGCAGTATGCCGATCATGTCAGGACCCACGGGATCACTCAGTTCCTGAACATCTGGGATCGTCTCAAGGATAGGTACGGAGACGAGCTGCTTTGGGGGGACGAGGTACATCACGTTTCGCCCTAGTGCAGTCTGTCTCTTTGCTGATCAAATGCTCGCGCCTCATCGCTTTCCCCTACACCCATTTGCGCCCGCTCCGAATTGACCACTATCACCTGCGCATTTACAACGTGGCTCGCTTAACATCAACTCCGGCCTCATGCGTGTACCCCGCACGCGAAGATCGAGTACATGGTCGCCGCCTTCGACGATCAAGAAAAGAACGTTAAGCTCTCCCTCCGTCAGACTGAGATCCTCGCGAAGCTGCAGTCCATCGTGAACGACATCGCGTCCGATCGCAGCGAGACGTACGTGCCTGCCTCTCACCTGTGAATATCAATATATAGCCTTCATTCTCGCCCAGTCGCTCTGTGCCCACCTTCCATCCGGAGTATGGACGGTTCATGCTCGAGTCGACTCCAGGATCGCCGTACACAGGCGAGATCCGCGACCTGCTGGCGGTGGAGAGCAACATGCGCTATCGGTGAGCCGTCGCGTCTCCGTAACTTCATGTATTGTGTTCTGAACCTTAGTGTTACTTCCCGTCTCTCATGGATCAAGCCGCCACCTCGCGCGCAAGCACCTAAAGTCTACCGAAGTGCCGTTCACAATGACGTCGTTTCCGCGCCTCGGGATTCCTGGCGTCTTCACCGAACCGTATTTCGACCCTGCGGATGCCGTGTCAAGCCATAGCCTTTTCCTACCTGAGGAGATCACAAACCCCCATGCACGTTTCCCGTCGGTGGTGTCCTTTCGTGTGTTCAGTCGCGCACTCAACCAGGCTCTTCTTGTAGCACCCTCACGGCTAACATCCGGCGGAGACGAGGCTCGAAGGTGGCGATCAATCTGCCGCTGTTCATTGACGACCGTACCCCGAGGCCATTTGTGGATCGGACGATTCCGTGGCAGAGGAACATCTATCCGGAAGATCCAGGTGAGATCTGGGCGATGCTTATCTTCGAGATGCAAGGAACTGAATAGGACTGTAGAGGCGAAGAATGGCGCTGCGCTTCTAGACCATATCTACATGGACGCGATGGGATTCGGCATGGGGTGTAGCTGTCTGCAGCTCACATTCCAAGCATGTAACATCACCGAGGCGAGGAGGTTATACGATGCACTCGTACCCGTTGCCCCGCTCCTGGTGAGTTCACTAGGCTCTCGCCCAGATTCCTGCCATTCACGGATCGTAGCTCGCGTTAAGCGCGGCAAGTCCGCTCTGGAGAGGCTACATCGCAGATGTCGACTGCAGATGGGACGTCGTCTCGGGCAGTGTTGATGACCGAACCGAAGAGGAACGTGGACTTAAGGTGATATCCTCGTCGTACTGTGCCTGTTTACTGGCTGCTGATGTCGCTGCATAGCCTTTGAAAGAGAGCCGCTTCAAGATTCCCAAATCACGCTACGCAAGCGTGAGCTTATACATTTCAGAGTATTGGATGAACCAGCCGGCATATAATGATATAGACGCGCCCCATGACCCAGCCATTTTTGAACGGCTTCGCAATCATGGTACGTGGGCAAATGAGCTGCATGCGCGGAGGGTTGCCACTGGTCCTGACATTGTGCTGTGACAGGCGTTGACGAGTTGCTTTCACGACACATTGCGCATTTATTTATTCGAGATCCACTTGTAATATTCTCCGAGACGATACACCAAGACGACACGACAAGTAATGATCACTTCGAGGTGCGTGTAATATCTCTCCTGTGGTGATTCGTCAGCTCATCCAGATACAGAACATACAATCCACCAACTGGCAGACACTTCGTTTCAAGCCGCCTCCGCCGAACTCGCCGATTGGATGGCGGGTTGAGTTCCGGCCAATGGAAGTTCAGATCACGGACTTTGAGAATGCCGCGTTCGCTGTTTTCATCGTTCTGCTATCGCGCGCTATGCTGCACTTCAACCTCAACCTGTATATCCCGATCTCCAAGGTAACCGTATCGTCTCCCTGCCGCATCCGCGAGCATGACATGTTGAGTTGTTGACTTGGTCCGCATCGCCAGGTGGACGAGAACATGGCGCGGGCGCAGCGACGGGACGCCGTTCGGTCCGAAAAGTTCTTCTTCCGCAAGGACGTCTTCCCTTCAGCGTCCTCCCGCCCGTCCAGCGTGGCGTCGTCGATACCGAGCTCCCCGATCAGCGAGCACGGCGGGCCGATCCACGTGAATGGGATCAACGGCAAGGAGAAGAAGCTGCGAAACTGCTTCCCGTTGCCGCCCAGGCCCGACGACGCGTACTTTGCAGGCAGCGTGCACGAGGAGTACGAGGAGATGACGATGGTAGAGATCATGAACGGCAAGGTGCGTCACGTTGTCGTCTGTCTTCTCGGTTGCCTGCATTCCTCTGACGTCCTGTCCGCCGGCGACACTTTGCAGGGTACCACATTCCCGGGCCTGCTGAACCTTGTATACATGTACCTGGATACGCTTGACGTGGACGACGAGTCCCGTCGCCGGATCGAAGAATACCTCGATTTGATCCGCAGGAGGACCAACGGTTAGTTGCTTTCTATCACCAGTCACTCATGGCGCTGCGCATAGGGACTGATACTGTCACGTCCAGGCTCGCTCCGGACGGCAGCGAGCTGGATCCGAGAGTTCGTTCGGACGCACCCGGCGTACAAGTTCGACTCGGTGGTGTCACAGGAGATCAATTATGATCTCATGGTCGCCATAGATGAAATGTGAGTTTCGCGTGGTCGTGCCCGGCGTGTCGCAGGAGAAAGAGGTCGTGCTCGACCAAGCCAATGCTGACGAGCCGTGCCTTCGTTTCGCATGACAGAGAGCGCGGGTTGCGAAAGGCCCCGGACTTCCTTCCGGCCAACTGTCGGCCGCGGGATTAGATTTACTAGAAGCGCGATACACAGAAACAGGAAGACATACCGCTGGGATAACAAGGACAGGAGCAGCAGTAATTGGACCAAATTTTGGAAGTAGATGTCGCGGTTTGGATTGTTTGGCGCGATCAGTACGGGTTGAGGTTTGGTCATAGGCAAGTCATAGCAGTTACAAAGTCTGTATCGTTATGTTCTATTTCTGGGCATTCAGTGACCCTCGTTGCGCAAAGCGTGTATTGAGGTATGAAATATACAGTGAAAGTGTCTGTGTCAAGTTTCTGTGGAAAGTTTGAGCACCGTCTGCTAGTTACGCCCCTACCGTGTACCAATGTTTGCTTATCCACTTCGCTCGTCACCCACTGCGAATGCAGTTCTAATTAGGAACCGACTCCGTGGAATGGAAGGCCGGGAAGCAAGATGGGCTCTAGGTGGAGCTCCCCGTGATTGCACAAGCTCGCGGACTCTGTAGCCGGCTGCTCTGTGCATATCCAGCCTGAGTAAAGGAGCCGTGTGTCGGAGCTCCATGATGGAACTATTGATACGACCTGTAATGACGGTGGCTTTGGGCGACAACGTTTATGAAGGGTTCTCCGACTTGTTTCCTCGAGCTACCAGGTGTGCCGAGGAGAGGGGACAATTACATTGTCCAAGGGAAGCCGGCGGGCGGCGAAGGGACCGGTATAAAGATCTGGATCGGAAGGAAATGATGCTGTGCAAACTGGCCTGAAACGTGTAGATTGCGATTGAGGTATCACCGCACTTTGCATCATCACTCACGATAACGGTCCCCTCGAATTTCCTCTCCGTCACGCTGATGGATTTTCACATGGACGACTCGACATCATCCTTGTGCGTGCTTTCTGGCACAGGTCATCAGAGCGGGTATGCAGCATCAAGGTGGGAGGAGAACGATAGGATCCGTGAATGCGGATCCGGTAGTACACATAAGTGGGTCTTTCATTGGCGTGAGATGAGCCGGAGTGGGGGGAGGAAGGCGTCTGAGTGTCAAGTAAGAGAGCTGCATCAACTGCAGGAGTAGGATCTGCCGAGCCGAGATCGCAGCAAGCTCGTCTCTTTCTCTCGCCCACACTACCGTTCAGGCTGTCCCCCGACTCCCGCCTTCGCTTACCGGTTCTCTCTCCTTCGTCCCCCCCTCCATTGCTCCCTCTAGTAGGGCTTTGTGCCCGCCCGCCATGTTACCCCATACACTATGGTCCTTTCTATTCCTCTCGGTCTTCTCCTCTTTCGTCAGCGCGCAAGGTCCCGTGCAGACACTCTTCCCCGCCAGCATTCCACTGGCCGTCAAACATCCGTACATGAGTGTATGGTATGCAAGCTCTAATACTTCTCTCCCTCTATCAAATTCATGGCCAGTATTCTGGGGACAAGCAGTGAGTTTCTTCTACATTTCTGGAGCTACCAGAGGTCACAACGAAGGGCGTAGTCGATCATCGGTTGGGCTGGCAAGATTAGGGTGGACGGAACGACATACAAGTGGCTAGGGAATGATCCCAATGGTGGTGCCCCCGCGAATGTTACGAACGTCCAATTTACGCCTACAAGGACCATCTTCGTCATGCAAGCGGGCCCAATGAACCTCACTGTCACTTTCCTTACTCCGATCGAAGTGAGCAGTCTCTTCTTTCAGCAAAGCTTGAGATATGCTGAGTCGAATTGGCGCTGTGCACGGTCAGCCTGACGATTGGGTTAAGCAATCAATACCGTTCTCCTACATATCCGTCGAAGCGCAATCCTTGGACGAAAACAGCCATGCCGTACAACTGTACTCCGATATCAGTGCAGGTAAGCACACATGCATATCCTTGCGCCTTGACTACAGTTAGACACGCCGTCCACGCAGAATGGCTATCTGGCAACAGGTCTAGTCCTGTACAGTGGAGTAATAACAATACTGGCAACACGTTATTCCACGAGATAGAGCTGCAGCAACCCCAACAGGACGTGGAGATCAATCACCAGGCGCAGGATGGTAAGGCATACTATGCCATGCCTGTCGTGAGTATTCTCCGTCCCCGTTCACCTTGCTCTGTCCCCTTCCACTTCGGCGCATAACGCTATTCCCCTCGCAGAAAACTGGCGTATCATGGCAAATTGACACCGATCAGAATACACGTTCTACATTCGTGTCGAACGGCAACCTTCACAACACCGCAAGTACGGCATTCGCGCCCATTTCACCGTGCGTTCTTCCCTGAACACACTACGTTCCGTCGCTCACGCATATATCCTGTTCTGTAGAGTGTTCACCGTCTTTGCTATAGCTATCGACCTCGGAACGATTACGTTGACCTCGGACCCCGTGACCTGGTCGGTCGGATACGTTCGAGACCCAGTCATCTCCTACACCACCGCCACGGGTGCGACCCAGCAGCGGCGGCCGCTGTGGGCGACGCAATACTCCAGCGTCGCCGATGTGGTGAGCATTCCCCCTTCCTTGTTTCGCGTCTACCCTTCACCTCCCGTTGACCATGATTCGTTCCCCCGGCCGCGCCTGTGCTTGCGCGATGGCAGATTGACGCGTTCACGGCCGACTTCCCCGCCGCGCACGACCGTGCCGTCGCGCTCGACGCGCAGATTCTGGGCAGCGCGTCACAGATCTCGTCGGAGTACGCGGATCTCGTCGCCCTCGCCACGCGGCAGGCGGTGAGCGCGCTCGACTTTACCGTCGGCGCGGACTCGAAGGGGAACGTCGACCCCGGAGACGTGAAACTGTTCATGAAGAATATCGGCACGGACCAGTACGTAACACTCGCTTGCGTTAGGTCTGCTCCCAGGTTGTGTCTCATGATATGTGCGTTGACAGACGGGTGAGCCCGGTGGAGCACATCTTCGCCGCGTTCCCGACGTACCTGTACCTCAACGCGTCATGGGGAGGCGTGCTGCTGGAGCCGTTGCTGGAGCTCCAGGACAGTCAGGTCGGCCAGCAGTTCGCGGCTCAGGACCTGGGAGACTCGTATCCCGTCGCTTCCGGCGCTCGTGGTGCGGCTGCACAGGGCATCGAACGTGAGCAGCCTCCACGGTTCTAAACGCGCTGGGAACACCATTGACTGAACGCGGCCGTCGCAGAATCTGGCAACATGCTCATCACGTTGCTCGCGCAAGCCAGGTTGTCCGGTAACGGGACCCTGCTCATTCAACACGTACGTGACATTCGATTATCCCGGAACCATAGATGCTCAATGTCTTGGCAGTACAACACCACGAAGCGATGGGCGGACTACCTGAACAACAACGCGTTGACGCCAAACGGGCAGTACGTATCAGACGTCCTGGGCAGAAGACGAGGACACGCCAGCTGACGATAACTTGCCAGACGCAACGCAGATGGTGAGACCAGTGCGAACATGACGAACCTCGCTATCAAGGGCATCATTGGCGTGAAGGCGATGGCCGAGATCGCGCGGGTGGTGGGTGAAGAAGTCGACGCCGCTCAGTACGACGTGAGTCGCGGATCGTGTTCAGCTTTCGACGCGCGGATTGGCTGACTGCTTCGGGTGCGGCACGATAGGGTCAAGCTGCGGCTTTGCTCGGCGAGTGGCAGTCGCTTGCGACGGGAACCAGCTCGCACTTGCTCGGTCGGTATGGCGACCAGGGCACTTGGTCACTGATGTACAATATGTTCGCCGACAAGATGCTTGGCCTGAACTTCATCCCTCAGACGGTAAGTTGCGGATCGACAGGAATTGTCTGATGGAGTCTTGGCCTTACATTATAAATAGGTTATCAGCGAACAGACGCAGTTCTACAGCAGTCTGTTGACGACGGCTTCTCAGCTGGGTCTGCCTATCGATAGCGACTCTGGACAGACTAGCAACGCCGGTAAGTGATCCGCGTTGGCCTCGCGCGAGATCCATGTACGCGACTGACATGATTGACACAGCGTGGCTATTGTTCACGTCTGCGTTCGTGTCAGACAGCACCGTGCGGGACAACTTGATCAAGGGCGTGCACAACCATGCGAACTTCAACCAGTCCTCCGGCGTTTTTCCCGAGATCTACAACGATGCGACAGGCGCCGGTTTGAATGGCTTCGCTGGGTGAGCCCAGTTGTCATATTGGCTTATCGCAGCGATACTGACTTGTGCTCATTCGCTCAGTCCTGCACTCGGTGCCCTGTTTTCACATCTCGCACTCACGTGAGTTGTCGCGAAGCCAGGAAACAGAACATGCTGAGAGTTTCTGATGTTTTCTCTCGCAGTGTTCCCAATACAACTATCTCCACCGCCACCTCAACGACAGGTACCGGCGACGGTAACGGTAACGGCGGAGACCACAAAGGCGGCAGCAGCAACGGAGGTGCGATCGCTGGTGGCGTGATCGGCGGTCTGGCAATCGTCGGAATCGCGATCGGCATTTTCTTCCTCATTCGCCGCAGGAGACGCAACCAGGGCTTTGACGAGAGAGAGAAGATTGAGATAGTCGAACAGGCGCCGCATGTCCCCACACTCGCGCCCTACTCCTACTACGAGCACCCCGCACCCGGCTCGCCTCGGGCAGGGGCCGGCTACGTGCCCGTGAGTCCGCATTCGGAGACAACTGCAGGTTTCGCGGGCCTGGGTAGCGGCGGCGACGGCCAGCACGGCGCGGGGCATCACTTGTCGGAAGGCAACCTCGCGTACGCGACGGACTCGTTCGAGTCCATGCAGCCGTCCGCGGTGCATGTCTCGAAAGCGCGAGAGGCGGCGCAGACCCGGGTACACGCCTACGCGCCGTCAATAGCGACGTCGTCCGCGGTGGGCTCTGCGTTGGGCTCCCAGACGGGCTCTGCGTCGAGTCGAGACCCGCTGTCGCCTGGCTCTGGCTCGGCTACTGGCTCGGGTTCGGTCGCGACTTCGCTCTCGCCGACAGACGTGCTGGGTTTGCGGGCGGAGGTGGAGAACTTGCGGAGAGTGATGCAGGAGATCAGGGCGGAGCGGTTCGAGCCGCCACCAGAGTACGTCGAGGAGTAGGGGCGGCGTGCTTGGCGGCACCGTGGAGCGGGGATACTCTGATCTTGAGCATCGTCATATATTCATTGCTTGTACATTCATCATTCATTCCTTCACTTGTTTGTATTCTGAGGCGCATCTACCGTTACCCTATTGCATGTTCAATCTCTTTGGTCCACCCTCTTTCTCATCTTGTTCTTTTGGAGATCACTCCTGTAACGTCGGGCTACTCAGCCTTCCTGCCCATGCTGTGGCCTCGATGGGACGTTCTAGCGACGTGTATTCGATAGATTTATATCAACAGTACGCAGGACGGACCCCATCATCCCTGTCGACTTCGGCAGCCATCATGCATACCGTTTTTCGCAGCTAGCCTGGCTGCCGTCATTCGCAACACAGTCTTGTGTAGTATGAGTAACATATTGGACCGAATTACATACGTTATCGTTATCCCACTTCATACCAAAAAACCGCCGCCTGTCGCTGACATTCCTTAGCCGAAGCCCACTGTCCGACGCGGCCCGCCCGTGCTCTCCTTTGAGTTTCTGGCGTCAGCCAGCGTCGGAACGCGCGCCAGCATGGCACAGGACCCCTTCGCGTCGTACTACATTATTGCTATCGGACTAACCCCAACTAACTCAATTTATGTAGTGTTGGGGCTACTTGCGGTTCCTGTCTATATGTTGAGTTCTGGCAGTATACCGTGCCTGTCAATCCAGCTGAAACGTCTTCTATACGAGGCTCCTCGATCACGGTGGTGACATACCGCTACTAGTGGGACACGGAAAGACGGTGAGCATATTCTGGTGAGTACTCCGTTTCTGATCCTGATTCTGATCCTGATTCGTGTTCCTGTCTCGAACTATTATATGTAGGAGTATCGTTCGTTACCCAATGCGCGGGCAGTTGGAAGTAGGGATAGCTGTCCGACTCACCCTCGCGGCTTTTCTCCACCGCCAGATTCGGCATGTATTTCTCTAGCAGTCTCGTTGTTCCCTTTCAACACGTTCTATCAGAACATTCTGTAGCCTCTCAGATGCAGGAAACTTCTGTTGGTGAGGCTTCACGAAAGGGACTGTATTCCAGGGACATCGGCCTGGGCACGGATGTGGTGAGCGATTAATTGTAAAAACTCTTCGCAATCTTATACAAACAACTCTGGACACGGGCACCTCGCATGCGCAGGCTCTTTCAATCGCCACAATGCCGGCACCGCATCTATCAAACTCTGGTCTCCTACACATCGGGGGAAGATTTGGCATCCCTGTAGCCAATGAAAGCACTTCCAAATCTATGCTTTCCCCTGGCCCTGGCACACAGAATACCGCTTCCCCCGGCTGCTCCGTGAGCGTCGGGGTTTCCTGTCATTGAAATCTCTCGCCTGATGTTCTCGCTCGGAGCGTTTGAATGATTGAGCTCAAATGATAGAGCTGCATCCTAGGAATCGCGCTAGACAGAGTGCAACCGGGAGCCTGTGTGCATATAAAGCTCAGCTATGGACAGGCAGTCTCTTCAGTCATCCTCAGGTCTCTCCTTCGAAACCATACGACTATAAGCTTCCTGTACTCGACAGTTACCATGAAGTCCATTGTTGCTGTCTTGGCTTCTGCTGCCATTGCGGCCACTAGTTATGCCTCTGTCCTCCGTGAGTTGTCACCCAAGTTGCATGCTCTCATGTATTATATGGCTGACGGGAGCACCTCAAAAGCGCACCGCAAATCTGTCTGTGCTGGTGCAAAGACGGTCTCGAACACCTCCATCGCCGTCGGAGATAAGGTAGTTGAGCTCGTAGAGCTTTCTTGTGGCAGCGCGCCGGTCAGCAAACGTCAAAACATCAATCTTTTCGGTGACGTTTGTGCGTTGACTGCCTTTTCTACGGGTTGCATCGTGCTAGGCATTGTAATATCTGACACACCTTATATAGGCGAGACAGAGTGCTTTACTGGTGACACCGCTCCGGCTACCGAGGACTGCCAGACTATCTTCAATGCGATTATGTCTATTAGTTCCGTGAGTAAGTTGACTTCATTGGTTCTGATGAATTTCCCGCTGTGGGTCATGTCCTGCTCTATTTGTTGTCGGCGATTGAGAACCCCACTAGTCCTGATAGCCGTCTGATACTTGAGAACTCTCCGCCGATACTAACACCTTTTTGTGTCACAGCGCCGACATTTCAGATTGCGGGAGATGCCGAGATGGTCCTAACTTCTGGGACCTGCCAATTCTTCTTTGATAACGATGAAGACACTACGGGCGAGTTTTGCTGGACATCCTTTGTATGCCCCTGTCTCTCGCTTGCTTATCATTGACAATGCTGAAGTAACACTGCTTGTGACTGGCACGCAGGCTCAAACCGCCTCTGCCATAGGATCGGCTTGCTTTTCCGATGGCGCTACCGAGGCCGTCTGCTTTAGCAACACAGAACCTTTCTATGACATTTTGTGCGTCTAATCCTCCTCATATTGTCTTCCTCCTCTATATACTTATCTATCATCGGCTCTCTCAGTGTCACTCACTCTTGAGCAGGGTCCACCAGTCGATCCCGAACGTTGCAAATTCTCCGATTCTCCCGACACACGTGGTACAGCGGGTCCACAGGTCAATATCACCATAGCCATTGATATATCTTAGGTCTCGTACGTCGGGTGACAAAGGTGTAGAGAAAATTTGCGTTCAGAATGAATGTAAATCACAAGCGCTTCATTGGCAGATAGAGTCAATGTCCCGTCTGTGTCAAACTATTACGTTCTCGGCTAGCAGTGTAGCTTGGGGTAAGGTTGAGAAAACAAACGGTGTGAGGAAGGGCTCACTCGCCCCTCGAGGGTCTCAACTCAAGCAGCGGGTGGGACGGCGGTCGGGAGCCTGGGCCACAACTATGCCTGACCGAAGACCCCGCCGGCGGATCCCTGAACGGGCACACTCGTTTTGCATATAGTCCTTCAGGTTACTATCATTGTATCATGTCAAGTTTGTTATAGTAGGTGTACCTTCCGTTGACTCCCATCTTTGAGAGTCCTGTTTCGCATTCCTAAATCTGAGTCTCACAGTGTATATCGTACGTTAGTCATCCGGGGACGATTGGAATCCCAGTAGTAAAGACTTTACTCGCGCGTGTTTGCTCCGCTCGCCGTCGGGTGATAGCAGGGTACCTGACTCCAGCCATCTGAGAGAGTGCACAATGCCTGAGGACACAGCATTGATCTCAATATTTTTTTCTGAGAATACAACTGATCGATATAGTAACCTTCTAGTGTTTTTTGTGCCTCGGAGGCTTGCATGAAGACATCTATGTAGCATGCATGGCTCGGCTGTGGTTGTAGAATGCCTGTGGCCGGCCCATGCAGACGCTGGCGCTGATGGACGGCGTTCCAAATAGGGGCAAACAGCGTGGATGCGAGTAGACTGCAGTTGGTCAAGCGAACAACTCTATCGCCCGTAAATGTTGGCTTTACTCGTCAACAATCTCCTACAGAAAATTTTCTAACTCGTCAGTGGAAGGAAATGTCTGGCTGCGAGGGTTCACGAAAGCCACTGCGTCCCTGGGATATCAACTAGCGCACTGATGCGGTAAGCTTATCTCGAGAACATTACTTGTGACATGGGCACTTTACATGCGAAGGCACCTTTAATGTCGCGATATTTCTAGCACATCAGCTAGAGGAACCAAACACCAGACTCCTACGACGCAGGGAGACCTTCACAAGCTATTGGCGGGTGAATATAGCACCTACAAATTCACGCTGTGCCCTGGCCCTGGCCCTGACGGACAGAATATGGCTTCCCCTGGCTACTCCGCGACCGGCGGAGCTTCCTGTCATTACCCTCCCGAACCCGATGTTCTCGCTCTGAGTATCCGAATGATCGAAGTAGAATGACGGAGCTACATCCCGGAGAGTCGCGCTAGATGGAGAGCGACCAGTGGGAATCCGTATGCATATAAAGCCCAGCTATGGACAGGCAGTCTCAACAGAGATCTCCGGGCTTCTTTTCGAACCTGAAGGTTCATGAGCTTCCTGTACTCAAAGCTCATCATGAAGCCCTTTGTTGCCGCATTGACTGCTGCTGCCATCGCGGCCACCAGTTACGCCTCTGTCCTCCGTGAGTCGTCGCACAACTTGAACCGGTAGGCTCGTATGTACCCTGTAGCTGATGAGAGCATCTTATAAGCGCGTCACATGAATTCCTGTGCAGACGCAAAGACGGTTTCTAACACCTCCATAGCTGTCGGAGATAAGGTAGTTGAGCTCGTAGAGCTTTCCTGCGGTAGCGCGCCCGTCACCAAACGTCAAATATCCCCCTCTGATGCTTTCGGCGACGTTTGTACGTGCACAGCCTGCTACAAGTGTTATATCGTGCTAGTCACCGCTCTTTCTGAAATTTCAGATTATATAGGTATTTCTGAATGCTTCACTGGTGGATCCATTCCGGCTACGGAGGACTGCCAAACTGTCTTCAATGGAATCATGACAAAGAACTCCGATTGTAAGTTGATTTACTAATACTGCTCATCTTCAGTGAGCCATGTCTCGCTCTACTTGGCGATGGCGTTGGGCATCACGCTACGATAGCCGTCAGACCTGCTGTGAAATTTCTTGACCGACACTGACCACTCGATGCAGCGCCTACTTTCCGACTTGCAGGCGGCAGTGCTCTGGTGCTGGCCTCCGGAACCTGCGAATTCTTCTTTCAGAACAACGACGAAAGCACCGACGAGTTTTGCTGGATACTTCTCGTATGTCTTCATCTCGCTCCCTGATCATCATGATCTCGCTGGAGTGACAACGTTTGAAACCCGTACATAGGCTCAGACTGGCTCTGCCTTAGGATCAACTTGCTTCGCCAATGGCGCGTCCGAGGGTTCCTGCTTCACCAATACCGAACCAATGTGGGACTTCTTGTGCGTCTGATGATTATGACATTGTCTCCCTCTTCCATCTGCTTACCGTTGTCTATGTGCTCAGTGTTGCTCATTCTTAGTCTTGGTCGGTTGCAATACGTTGTAGGATTAAGTCGCCATCCTCGTAGCCAGTAGTATGGTTTGGGCCCTGTAGAAGCGGTAACAAGGTTATATCAAAGAAATTACCCTCAATGCGAGCCTGATTTCCCTTCTCGCCCTGTACATGTACTAATATGTCTAATAGTTGAGGATGACAAGTCACCTGAACGATCCCTACAAGCCTCTTCGACGTCTAGACATGGAGAGGCATCTCCTCGGCTACAATCAGGAATACATTTACGAACGACAATGTCTTCATGATCAACTGCACCACTAGTCTCATTGATCGTAAACTTGTCTATCTACTGTCACGGCTTCGTTGCCTATTTGGCTTGCTCTAGTTGATACACAGTGGTTCGCACTTCATTGTCGTCTTGATCATCTGACAGTCCATCAGTAAAGATTTTGAGTGGGCCGGAAGCGGTATGAGCACAAAAGAATGAACCTCACCTCTGTTTCTCTATGGTATATTCTATCAACTCCCTTGCATCCGCGATCTCCCCTAAGGCCCCCCTACTGCCCCTTTTCCGCCACTGACTCCTCCCTCGAGTCCTTCGACACGCTTTCACCACTCCTAGCGCCCTCCGCGGTCAGGTCGTCCGAACTTGGCTTGCCGATGCCGATCGTCCTCACGACGAGCCACCCCGGGACGAGGGCGAGACCCCAGAGCCCGAAGTTGATCGCGCTCGCGGCGTTCAGGGCGAGCGCGGTCGAGTTGATGCCGTACGAGACCGCCTGCGCGGCGCTCTCAGTTCCGCGGAGGAGCGCGGCGATGCGGATGATGTCGCGCGGGTGCTCGACCACTGGTAGGAGGGAAGGCAGCGCCGAGACAGAAGTCAGCAAAGTCGCAAGGAGGCGCCTGAGGAGAAGGGGGGGAGTAAAGAAGGAGAGGAACACGTACGGCTGCCGACGACCCAGAACATGTACAGGTAGTTCATCTGGAAGCCGACGGTGATGACGAGGTAGAGCACGAAGCCGCGCCCGAAGCCCGGCGAGGTCCAGTCGAGCGTTGGATGGTCGCGGACGTAGATTTGCTGCAAGGGCTCGTGTCAGTAGCCTGTCCGGCGGCGCGTCGTACTGACAGGAGGAGCGTTACCTGGATGATCTGGCTATAGATCCACCACCCGCCCTGCAGGCTGAGGATGATAACGAACGACCAGCGTGCACGGCTCTTCTTAGACCAGCTGGTCCGGTCGAGGAGATACTGCCAACGGACCTCGGTCAGCGAAGTGCGTAGGCGACGGGGAGACAATGCGCACCCCCTCGAACAGCCCGACAATCATGCACAGGATCGCGCTGCAGAAAGAGCCCAGAGCGCGGGCACGCACGCTGAAGTAGTCTGCGCTTGCTGAATGAGAGAAGGTGGGAGGATGAGGCGGTTAAGAGACGCACCAACGAAGTACGTCCCTGTGAAGGATTCGGAGAAGACGGTCTGCCAGATGAGCGGAACGAGCAGCAGAAACTATGCGGTGAAGAGGGCGTGAATCAAGGCGAATCGTTCGAGCAGACGAGACATATGGGTATACCTTGCGACTGAAGAACATGTGCCACGTCGCGCGCCACTCCTCGAGGAAGTTCGTGCCAATGTAAAGCTCGACGGGTGTGCGGTCCTTTCGCTGGACCTTGTGCGGCGGCGAGAGCAGCGAGCCGATGAACGGGCCACACGCCTCTGCCAACGTATGCCTCGTGAGCATCCCCATCCACGCCTCGTAAGGCAAAGCCAACCCGCACTCACGCAACGCGATAAACACAATGTACACCTTACTTGACACGCTCCCCGCCTGCGACCGCCGGGCGTTGATGCCGAGGTTGATCGCGCCGCCGAGGACCTGACCCGAGACACGGTAGCAGAGCCAGTAACCGAGTGCCTTGCCGCGCCCTGCGGGCGATGGGTACGAGAGCGCTATGGCGCCCTCGATCATCCAGAAGAGCCCTGCACAGATGCCGCACGCGGCTGCGCCGAAGAGTACAAGCCAGGTCGTGCCGAAGACGTTGTTCGTGTACAGACCTGCGGCGTAGACTAAATGGGGACGGGAAAAATGTCAATGCAGGGGACAGGGTCGAGGATGGATGGAGAGATGTACGTACTGCAGTATCCTGCAGTGCCGAACATCAGGGTGAACTTCACGCCGAAGAGGTTCACGAATGCACCTGAGGGATAGGAATAGTTGGAACTGGACACTGATTAGCAGCATTGCCCTCGAACTTACTTCCGAGCCAACAGCTCAGCACCATGAGGCAAAACGTCAATGCATTCGCAGCGTTGATCAGATGTGGTGCTGCAGAGAGTAGAGAATTCGTCAACAAAAGTGGTCTTGGAGTAACGGTGCACTTACACGCCGCGCCGCCCGCGCCGAGAGAGTTCATCGCACCCCACAGACCAGGAGCCGAGAAGTTGCAGAGTCCAAGGATGGTCATGTTGAAAAAGACCGAGTGGTACCATTTGGGCTCGAAGTCTAGCAGACCAGGCTTCGCAGCTTCGCGATCTGCGTTCCGATCGAGCGAAGGGATGGAGGGCGAATTCTTGAGGGCGGGCTTCTCGAGCGACGCATCGTCCTTCTCTGCGGTGTGCGATGCGGCTGCCATGGTGGTGTCCTGCAGGTCAGCAGGGGGCTCCGTGTGTCGCGTCGCGAAAACCTGGGCCCGTAGGTGGCCTTATATATGAAGCGGAAAAAACAGCGACGAAATGTGCAACAGCAAGTGGTGCAAAGTTGGCTCAATTCACTTCGCAATGCGTGACTGAGATGACACCATCTTCGGCGCGTTCTCGAGTTCTGGACGCATGCCAACTACGCGCGGTGTGTCTAGTGATTCGTGCCGCTTGTATGCACGGCGAAGGCGGGACATGACAGAAGAGCAACAAGAAAAGCATGGATGGCCCGGCCGCCACAAGCTGAGTCCACCGCCGCGTCTGAGTCCACTGTTGCAACAACCACGCATCAAAATCGATCAAATCATACAACAATAAGGTCATGTGCCTTCGCGCTTCAATCACGGTACCGTGTCTGCAACGCGTTTCGGCTCCGAGACCTCGGCGCGTCTTTGCTTCTGACCGTCACCACTGGAACTGCAGCTGTTCGTCATTGACGGTTTCCCCCTGACACAATGCGTCCACAGCATCTCGATTGACTCATATTCCCTCAAGCATGTCCACCAATGATCACGAGCTTCACCCCACGACGCAGGCCACGGATAGCCTCGTGCGAAGGCTGGCCGGGCCATCTACTAACAAGGCTGGGTAAGTATCGCCTCGAACCCATAGTACCTTGTTTTGACAAGTGCACCCAGACTAGCAAAAGACCAAACTGAAATCAATAGGATCATCGCTGAGGCTTCCAAGGGCTCCAAATTCTACGAGGTCAGGGATGTTGTCGGCACAATCGTACACGACTTGAAACGGATGTTCCGCAGAACGAGAAGCGTAAAGACAAAGACCTAACAGAACGGATAGAGCGTATCATCAAACACAGAGACGAAGTCATCAAAGGCGTGGATCTCCGTGCGTCCGCTTCCCATTATGTCAGTGAAGCCCGTCCAACATATCTCCAGATCAAGTTGAGCAGGGTGTCGATAAGCTCGTGAGTCGTTCTTGCTCACCTCAGAACAGAGTTTCGCTGGATGATGTGAGGGACAGATAGCCCAGCTGGAAGCGCAAAGAGACTTGTCTCAGGTTATCGTCCATGTGGACATGGATGCATTCTTTGCCAGCGTTGAGCTCCTCGACAATCCCGACTTAGCTTCAAAACCTTTCGGTGTAAGACCCCTGACTGATATTGCTCTGTGTTCAAAGCGCTCACCACTGACGTCTTACAGGTAGGGGGCGGGGTGATGTCGACCGCCTCTTATGAAGCCCGCAAGTACGGCGTCCGTTCTGGCATGCCGAGTAGGTCTTGATGACATTGCCTCGCGATCTTGAGTATGGTCTCATGTCAATTCAGCGTTTATCGCCAAGAAGTTGTGCCCGGACCTCATCGTCCTGAAGAGCCATTACGATCGGTATAGTGAGATGTCGAACAAAGTGATGGCAGTCTGCCGCCGGTACGATCCGAACATGTCTGTGGTGGGTTGTGACGAGGGCTATCTAAAGTAAGGTCACCACTAGTCGTGGAAGGGGTGTTCTGATTTGACTCAACGGACAGCATAACGTCTTACTGTGAGGAGCACGGGATGACCCCAGACGAGTGCGTTCAGGATATGCGACAGAAAATCCACGAGGAGACGGCCTTGACTGCCAGCGCAGGGATTGCGCCCAACAAGGTGAGGCCCCATGCACCTGTTGCACTCTCCATGCGCTTAGGATTCCAGAGAAGATGCTGGCAAAGGTGAGTTTCAGTCACAGCAGTCTCCTATCATGTTATGAACAAGCGCCGTCAGATCTGTTCAGACAGGGTGTGTCCTTTTGTTTGGTCGGTCATCGCACTGCAGCATCCTCACGCATCAGTCTAGAACAAGCCTAACGGGCAGTTCAAGCTCGACTTCGAGGCGCGAGCGATCAAAGCGTTCATGCGCGACCTTTCTATCCGGAAAGTCCCCGGTGTCGGCCGGGTGAACGAGCGCCTGCTCGAGTCGATAGGCATCAAGGTTTACGAGCTCCTCCTCGTCCTCGCATTCTCCACCGTAGCTCACTGACCTTAATGCGATTAGACTTGCGGCGACATCTACGCGCAGCGCGGAATCCTGTCGCTAATGGACAAGCAATTCGGGCTTATGTTTCTTCTGCAGTCCTACCTCGGTATCGCCTCCAACGTCGTCGAGCCGTGGCAACGAGAAGAGAAAAAGAGCATTGGAGCCGAGCGGTATGTATCGAGCGCATTTCCTAGTTCGCATCGCGCTAATTGCTACCTCACGTGGTCATGATATCGACGCTAGGACGTTCAACACCCTTTCTGACACAGCGAAGATCCACGCGAAGCTTGAGGAAGTCGCGGCCGAGCTATCCAAGGACATGACAGAAGGCCAATGGACCGGGAAGACGATCACGCTAAAATACAAACTGAATACATTCCAAGGTACGTCCACTATACCGCGCGCCTATCAACCCTAATGATGTACCGCTCTGAAGTGTGCACCCGCGCGAAGTCGCTGGATAAGTGGTTGTCGGGTAGAGCCGAGGAGCTATTCACTGTGCGTCAAGGATGGTCCCACTGTTTCAGCTTCTGACTGACGAGAAGCAGCTTGGGAAAGAGTTGTTGAAGCCCGAGCTCCCATTGACACTCAGGCTCATCGGCCTCCGGGTCACAAAGCTGAAAGACCTCAAAGCGGAGGCCGAGTCCAAGGCTCGAGGGATCAAACGAGTCAGTCCTCTTGTCGTGAATTTCTTGAGTCATCTGCGAGCGAGCATTGTTTTCAGTTCTTCAACGCAGCACCCCCAAGCCCAAGCAAGAAGCGTCGAACAGAGCGCACGGAGCATGATGAGCAAGAAGAGCTGCCGCTATCCCAGGACGGGTTCGCGACGTCGATGCCTGGCTACGAGGACGAGATCGAGGCTGAGCATATAGCCGAAGAAGACGTCATTGAAGGGGACGATATCCGGAGTCATCGACCTCCGGATCCCCTGAAATCCAACCCGAAGTCCTCCTCAGCGGTGCCCGACAATCACGCCGGACCGTTCGGTTCGGCACGACCTCCAAATTCCGATCGAGGGAGCAAGCGAAAGCCTTCTTCGTCCGCGTCTGTGTCTGCCGCCACCCACAAGCCATCTGGAGCCGAAGATGTAATCGACTCTCCAGAAGCCCTTCTCGAGTGTCCCATATGCAGCAAGATGCTGGAAATGGATAATCAGGGCCTGAACGAGCACATCGACTTTTGCCTTAGCAAACAGGCAATCAAGGAGGCACAAGCGTCGTCGCTGAAGCCGGACTCGGGATCAAGCCAGCATGGAACAAAGCCCTTGCGGAGGGGGCTCAAGCCGCAGTCTCGAGGGAAGTCGAAGGACAAGGTCGGCGGACATGGGGAAGGGCTGTTGAGATTCAGGAAGCAGGATTGACAGGGTTTCGGGTTAACTTATTGTATGCAGAGTATTCGCGAGGGACATTCATTCATATGGATTGATGTATCTGTATCAACTCATATATCTCAGACAGCAGTATTCTGTACCTTGAAGTCGGAGTGCCTGATAATACCTAACCGCCGCCACTGCGCAGCGGCGGTCGATATGTTGTGACGGTGACGTCACGCCGCGATACACGGCGGCAGGTCATCAGGTCTAGCGCTTACACCGTGACGAGCAGGATTCTCCCTCTACCACTCATCTCACCACATTTCCCTTGCCCCCTGCGCTCAATATGTCAGAATACTGGGTCTCGCACAAAAAGTACCTCTGCAAGTACTGCAATATCTACATCGCCGACGACGCGCCTTCGCGGCGGCAGCACGAGACCGGCCTCCGGCACAAGGGCAATGTCGAGCGATTCGTCCGCGGACTCTACAAGGCGGGCGAGAAGCGCAAGCAGGACCTCGAGGAGGAGAAGCGCGAGATCGCGCGCATAGAGAAGGTGTGTGGTCGTTCGTCCTTGCGTGCTCGCCCGTGCCCTTCTTCCCCTCTCCTCTCTCTCCCTCCCGCGCCCATGCCCATGCCCGTCTCCCATCGTCTTTCTGCGCAAGTCGCTATATATTGTACGTGCACTCATGTGGTTTGTCATATAGGCCGCGAACGCCGCATATGCGCAGGACGTCGGCGCCGGCCTCGCCTCGGGCAGCGGCAGCGGCACCTCCTCCCGCGCAGGCTCCTCTGCCCCTGCAGAGAAGCAGACGGCCGCGCCGAAGCCGTCGAACCCCTTCGCGAACTACTCGACGGCGGAGTCGCTGGGCTACACCGACCCCGACGCGGAGCGCGCAAAGGCGGAGGCGGAGCTGCGCCGCACGCAGGGCATCGCGGGTGAGTGGGAGGTCGTCGAGGTTGTGCCCTCGGCTGCTCCAGCCGAAGGATCGCACAGGGAACGTGGAAAGGAACAGAAGGAGGGGAGAGGAGAGGCAGGGGAGTCTGCGCGGGCTGGGGAGAAGCGGTCTGCCGCGGAGGTCCCGCTGGACGACGAGGACAGCCGGGGGTGGAAGCTTAGGCGAAAGACCACCCATGTGGGGTTGGGCGAGCTGTACGACCCCGGTGCGGTGCCTATCAAGCTGAAGGCGAAGAAGGAGGAGCTCGCTGCAGCGGGCACGTCGACGTCAAGTGCTGGATTGACGGGCGCGGGATCTGGCGGGAGCGAAAAGCCGAGGTGGTCTGCGCGGGGGTGGAACAAGCCTGGGGAGTCGGCAAGCACCGCAGATACGCAGGAGAACGCAGATGGTGAAACCAAGACGGAGGAAGGCGAGCCTTTGGAGAAGCTGGAGCAGGAGCCACTATCACATGGCGAGCCAGCCGTTGAGGTCAAGGCTGAGATGAAGACGGAGGATGTCAAGGCGGAGTCTATAGATTCTGCGGCGCCTGCATCTGCACCAGCTGGAGGAAGTTTGTTCAAGAAGCGGAAGGTACCTGTTGGTGGAGGAAGTAGGGGCGGCAGGCGGATATGAGAGTTTCGAGGGATTGTCTGGTCTCTAGCTCCCCAGGACACTCCAGCATATTCGGTGTAGTGTACGTATAGCTGTATCAACATTGAGGTTCTCATCCGATAGCTTTGCTCACTCGACCCCCTTTACATTGAGCATTCGCACGATGTCGTTATGTCTCGCGCGTATACATGCAGGATGGATTCTCCTGAGCACATGGAAGTGATGCGTGTTGGGTGTTTTTCAACTGTTTTTGTTGCATTAAGTGTTCTTGTACGAGTGGGGAAGATGACCAGACCAAGCAGTACAGAGAAGCGACGACGAGAGGCATTATAAGAACATAGACAGCGTGTAGAAATGAGAGGTACATCTAATGTCCAGATATGCTCCGGTGGTGTGGGCATTGACGTCCGGGGACTAGAGAGTATCATGCAGTCGTAGCGAGAATGAATCACTACTGTGGCTGCATGTTTTCGGGTACTGCAGAAAGAGGAGCGAATGTCAGCACAATGGGTTTACATAACGGGATCTAAAAGGGAAGATGTCGAGACGATATAGCCGGGGGATGTGGAAGCGGAACCAGTTAGTAGCGGTGGACTTACGTGGTGGTAGCTGAGGACGAGTGCCCTCGTTGAATACCCGTGAGACAAGAACACCGACACCCTCGAACACGCTGAGCAAGATGCCGCACATGACGGCTGATGTGAGAGCACCCTTGGGACCGCCTGTGACAGACTGTAAGCAAAGTGGGCGCAGAGCAGCACACAGAAGAGAAGCAGAGAGGGAGGGAGGGGATGAGCGAGGATAGCAGGGAGGGTCGAACGGTGAACAGGACGTGAGACGTACTCCGCGCCGCGAGACATCCACCGGTCATGAAACCGGAGATGATAGCATTCCACATATCCTCCTTTTGCCGCCAGCCCTTCACAGCGCAGTCAAATGTCGAGAACATGCCACCCCAAACACCAAAGTTGCCACCTGTTACGGGCGCGCGGGCCTTGATGACAGAGAGGGCTCCGACCATGCGATCGCCCTACGTGGCATCGTCAGTCACAGTGGGGCTACGAGATAGAGGAGAGACGCACTCTTGGTGAGTTCCTTGCGCCCTTGATGCCGTGCCAAATGGTACCACCGACAGCACCCATGGCGAAGGCGCTACCAAAATCGGAGAGGATGACCCATGGACTAGAAGAAAGAAAGAGGGGGGGCTGATTAGTGTTCCGAAGACGGGATTATGAGGGGGAGACGACCTACCAGGGATCGCGAGTGTGATCTGCGTGGGCCATGTCTGGTCGTCGTCGGTGTCGTGCGGAGGGAGGGGCAGGGAGATGGTGGTCAGCGCTGCTGCCTGAGCTGAGATCGCTGGAACTCGTATCCGTCACACTCCCCGCCCAGCGCCTGTCCCATCTCCCAGCGTCGGAAACTTTTGCTTCAGGGCCGGTCCGCAGTCACGTGCAAACGCGTTGCATGTGACGATCCGACGCGCCGCGATTGTGGCAGCGCTCGCTTGTTGATCGTCGATACCTTCCGTTTCCGTCTCCGCCATTCTCTGCCAACGACCACCACCAACCACGCCATGGACACACCCGCTTCCGTGCTCCGGCGCAGATCTCAGGTGTTTGTCGAGATACCACCATCTCCGTTGCATTCCGTCATGGGGCAGCGTGCAAGCCAGGCCAACACACCTTTCAAGGCCGTGCCTACGAATGTGGACAATCACCCTTCTCCCTCCGGCTCCCCGTCCCTCAAGCGAAGGCTACCAGACGCGTCGGACGACACGCTCAAGCCAAACGACGAGCATCAGCCGCCCAAAGCTAAAAAGCCAAAGACCGAAAATCCCTTCAAGCAAGACGCTCCTACCAAAAAGCTTGCAAATGCCTCGAACGCTGGCGCTCAGAAGAGTAAGGTCAATGATGGCAGTCTCCGCTGCCATCAGTGTGCCAGGCTCGTGGGCCCCTCTGGTGAGAGCCCTCTCTCGACTGCATGAACGTGTCCAATACTGAGGGTCCATGTAGGCATAGCTCAGTGCACCTACAAGCGTACTTCGGGCGAGCGGTGTATGTGCAAGTACTGCAAGGCCTGCCTGAGGAACAGGTACCAGCTAGATATTGACACCGTCAAGAGCCGCTCCCCAGAGGGATGTTCGGACGAGGAGAAGGCCAAGCATGCCCCGGGGACAGACTATGTTTTCCAGTCAGTCAAACGATTGTTGCTTCTGTGCCTTCATTCTCATCCTTCGTCACAGATGTCCCCGCTGCAGTGAAGGTTGCAATTGTAGAGCGTGTCGGAAGGCCAAAGGCCTCCCCGCACTTGGGTACGTAATATGGATATGCTTCTGGGGTTGAAATTGGAGAGTTAAGCTGGGTGTATGCGCAGAGACTTTAACCGGGCCGCACGTGAAGCTGTCAAACAGGCAGCGGCCGCGAACGTACGTTACGGCTTGCCAATTGACTACAGACGTTGTCTCACTACTCCAAACATAGGCTGCAGAGGCGGGCCCTTCATCCGCTTCGGGCAAGTCTGCCTCTGCGTCTAAGATCGGGAAGCCTTCTGCGAAAGTGAAGGACGCCAACACCAAGGTCAAGGCGAAGAAGGCGCAGGATAAGACAGCAACCAAGCCCAAGGCCGGCACGTCTAGGCTGGTGCCTCATGTACTCGTCCCGCCATCCCCATACAAGACCGGCCTGGCTGTTACGAAGAAGCCCCGGACCGTGAAGGAGAAGCCCGCGCCCCCTCCTAAGCCTCTACCGAAGCCCGTCTGGTCTCAGCTCTCCACTACGCTAACGTTCGATAGCGCCGTCGAGCGTATGCACATTCGCGAGTTCCTCCTCCGCTTTGCGCACCTCACGGACATCGCCCGCAGTCATCTTGAGGAGCTCGAAGAGCTCGCCGGCCCTGATCCATACCTTGACAAGGCGGGAGACAATAATGAGGAGGAAGAGTCCGACAAGCCTAAGCTGGTCGGATGGATCAGCGACGCTGCGCTCCGGGCGATCCTCATCGGTCTCTTGACACTCCTGTCCAAAGACGCCTCGCTCGTCGAAAGCAACAACGAAGACCAAGACGAGCAGTCCCGCGAAAATGACGCCTCTGCTCTTGCGGCCGCTATACACCAAATCAAGAACAGCGGCTCCCACCTGTCCAAGATGTGGGCCGCCCTGGACACCTTGCGCACCTCTTCCTCTCTCGACCTCCCCTCCGCCCTTCCCCCACCCCCGAATGTGGGCTTGCACGGGCGGAGCACACGCACGACATCTCGCGATCCGGCAAGCGCGAGTGTCCCCGTTATCTCCACCGCGCAGCTCGTCCCCGTTGTAGGCGCGCTCGTTGAGGCGGCGCTTGCCACCGAGGCCGTCCGCGAGGACTTTGAGCGAGGCGAGGCGCAGGAGAAGGACCTAGGGCGGGCGGCGCGCGAGCTCGCCGCGAAGGAGAACGCGCGATTCAGGCATGAAGCGGACAAGATGAGGGCGGTGAAGACCCTAGGCATCCGCGCGGAGATGCGTGCGTTCCGCGCCGCACACGACGCGGCGCTCGCGTCCTTAAACTGCGCGCACCAACTCGCGCTCGCCGAGTGCGTCCCACGCTTCGGCCCGCTCGGGCGCGATGCCGAGGGTCGTGTGTACTACGCCGTCACCCCGGGCGTCGTCGAGCGCGAGGCGGCGGTGAAGGTGCTCGAGGGCGGCAAGGGCGAGGTGCGCTTTGGCGGGAAGAGGCGTGGGGTGGCGGAGAGGGAGGAGAGGCGGCGGATGAAGTGCTGGTCGTGGTTCGTTGCCGTGTGGGGCCGCAAACCGGAGGGTGCGATCGTCGCCAAGCCTGATGGCGAGGAAGGGGCTGACGAGAAGGGGTACGGTGAAGGCGAGGTTGGGAGGGAGGATGAGAAGGAGGGCGAGAAGGAGGACGAAGACACCGAGCGTTGGTGGGGATTCTGGGAGCCAGAGGAAGTCGCGAAGCTCGCGGAGTGGCTCGCAATGCGGCACGGCATCAACCTCGAGAAGAAACATGTGCCTAAGGGCGAAGACGACACTACCGTCCTCGATGTCGACGACGGACAGCAGGGTCAGAGCCACAAGAGGCCCCGCGGGCGGCCATCGAACGCGAGCTCCGCTGCTAGTAGCTCGGCGGGCGGACGCACGTTTGCGTCGTTGAACGACTCTTCGGACGAGGATGAGGGAGAGGGAGAGGACGACCGCGACGAGGAGGATGCGGATGGGGACGTACAGATGCGCCTGAACCTGCGCGGAGAGCCGGTCCCGACGAAGCACGACCTTCGCGTGCTGGCGCGGGGACTGAAGGAGTACTCGGAGCTGCTGGCATGGCGCGTCAAGCGTGCGTCCAAGGAGAAGGGGGACGACGATCAGGGTGACGCAGAAGTGGAGGAGAATGGGAAGTATGTACTAGTAGCAGATTACTAGCATAAATATGAGGCGCACATTAGGCAACACTATAGACATGAAGCAGTCCAGTAGCACAGACCACTCTTCCAGAGACAGAGTCACCGGGTTTAAGGACCTCCTGGTTGAGGGGCGAGTGCCTGTGAACAAGTGTGTAATCGGAGTCTGGTCGGAGTACTAAGCAGTAGGCCACTCGAACTTGTGCGAACTGGGTATACGTGTGAATAGATGGTTTGACGTACACAATCGTGCATGCGACCAGAGCATGTAATCACGACGTTAGCAGGTGCCCAACTGACAGTTCAAACGCATGAAAATTTCAGGGGACATTCACGTGTGCGGTTTGGGGTTCAAATAGATGGACTACTCGAACGGGTCATATACGTCGGCTGTTTGAGGCAGTAACACATGAGGGAGTTGAATGTGTAAAGAGCTTGGTATATTTCAAATGACTCTGTCTAGTACACATGGGAGCTACCAAGCAGGTCTCGTAAAAAAAACCAACAAGTTTGGCATCGCAGCGCGCTCTAGCCGCCCGTGCTGGTATTGCGCCCGCCCACTAGTACTGCTCCCGCCTGCTTCATTAACAATGGACATCTGCCCCGAGAATATCAGCGACCCGGATATTCAAATCATCTAGGACCAATTACCTGTATATATGAAGCAAACACTGTTGAGGAGCAGTATTAGCAAGGGCAGCACAGCGGGTACTAGCGCTCACCATGGGACCCCACCCGCGATCCAGACGGGCATGCCTGCACCGCAAGGGCAGCCATAGTGTGCATTGACGGCAAAGGGCCAAGGGAAGGGAGAACATGGTAAGCAGGTCCGCAAAAGGTAGCATATAGTCGCATATAGGTACTTCAAGTACTCACCGCCAGCGGAGGCCATGACCGCACAGCTATAGTAGACCTAGTCCAGCGGCATGTATACGGGTATACTCCCTAAGGTTACGAGATAAGCGTACCCATGTCCAATTTCCCACAAAACCCATCCCACACCCTCCACTATCGCCGCCGCCTGTGACCCAAGGGAACCCCTAGAAAAGCAGTGTTTGTTAGCATCCCATGTAGGTCAGAAGGAGTCTACATATGACATAGAGGAGGATGCCTTACTGAGAGAGATGTGTCGGGGCAAGTTTGAGGCGGTCTCCAGACTCGGGGTCCAGAGAAGGTGATGGAAGGGGATAAAGATGTGAAATCATCTAAATCGAGCGCCGTCAGCTTGATATCTGAGGCTTGATTAAACCTGCTTGGATATTCCCGGTGAGTCAAGGTGCTAACCCTAGATATAGACCAAGATACTCACAACTTACAAACTACATATCGACTCACGGTTCGAGTAGACTATAGTAGGCCATTTCATCAAGATGATTTGCAGTTTCTTCAGGATACGAGGGTGTGTCGGAGTTGAAATACCAACTACATATTATTAGTTCGCCTATTTATGTCGATTTGCATCTAACCAGGCATTTGACCCGATTTGCCGTTCACACCCTTCAACTAGCTGGTACTGGCTAGTACTTGCTCGCGTACACGCGCTTGAACCAGCAGGTCCTTAAACGCGGTGAGTGCTAGCACAACGTACAAAGTCAGCAGATTCACTTCTTTCCATAGAACGTCGCGGGCGCGATGCCCTCCGAAGGTTTCGCCACAGCCTTGCCCTTGCTCCGACATCCTTCTAATTGTGCGCTAGATGTACGATTGATGTACAATTAGAGTATATACTGTACATGTTGTGTATAGCGATTCATCTTCATGCGAAACAACCAGGAAGGTATAGATGAGCGAAAAGTTATACTTTACATTGTCGTGCGATCATTGAAGCCAGCTCGTCCGCGGTGACGGGCCTCTCCACGCATCTCGATAGGCGTAATGCGAGCAACGTCGCTAGGACATGTTTGCACTACGGCGATTCAGCACGTCAGCTAGCGGTGAGGAAGGGAATGATGGCGCACCATGATTTGGGTCTCGGACAGCAAGACAGAATAGGCATACGCCGGGCATGTGCAGTACGCGGTGGCCGTCGCGACAGAAGGCAGCCCCGGAAACACGGTGTACGTCGCCGTCGAGCCAAGCACTTCGTATTGCGGGCGGCCCCATGGGGTCTTATAAAGGATGACTATATCGACAAGGACGCCATCAGCTGGCCAGCTCAACTGTATGGTATGCGGATGGTAGAGGGCTTGCCGCTATCTCGGTCGATCAGGTCCAAAGCACCTAACAAGAGGGTTTCAGGGAAGAAGAAGCGGAGCTTCTCGAGCGATTCATCGACTGTATAGCATCAGTAAGAAAGCCATGTAGGCATGGTATATCCTAGTGGCAAACTGACTAGTATCGGCAGTCAAACCTTCTAAGACTTGGTTGAGGATTGTGGTGAGTTCTGCAGACGCCATCACATCATTGCCTGGAGTCAATAGACAACGACAGGAGTGTGGTTCATCTGCGCTCTATCGCGTCAGCAGCAGTATCCATCTACAGGAGGTACAAACGTACTCACTCCGCTTGTATAGTGGTTGTCTGCCAAGCCCTTAACCGCCCATTCGCTGAAGATTCGGATTCGACGATGCCATAACGGGGTGGCACAGCCACCCAGGTTCCTTTGCGGAGGAGATCGAGTCCTGTGGATTTATCGCCCGACCACCACACAAATTAACGTAAGACGTCAAAAATGCTGATCCAGTACCTGTTTGTGTTTGCGCAGGTGCATGAAGACTTTCGGATACCGGAACTGCTCTCAATCTCCGAACTCTATGGATTTGAGATCAAATTTCCTGAGCGACTCGAGGATAGAGACACGTCCCGGCCGTTCATGCTCCTCGAGCTCGAGAGTGAAGAACATGCACGACTTCTTTCAAGAAGATGCATTCTGATCAGGTAATGCTAGCCTCTATAAGGCTCCTCCCAGTTACTCATGTCCTGATATGCTCAGATATGTCTGCGAATTCTACGCTCGCGGAAAGTCCTACGAGGAGGTGCACGAACACAACCGGGCGCGATCTTCTCTATGGGAGAAGTACATCGAAGACACTTCGTTCAAATTCCTGGTAACAGCTTTCAACCACACCATCCCGCAATGGCGGCAGAGAGACGTTGTCGAGAGCTTCTCATACATGGACTTCCGGGGCAAGATCGACATGAAGAACCCGGACATCACCTTGACAGTCTTTGAGGAATGTTGGTACAGTGCCTTCGCACCGCCTATATTATCCAGGAAGTGATCTCAAATTTGTCTTTCGCTCAAGATCCTGATAAGCATGGGACTACGCGCGAGAAGACAGAAGGCGATGGCCAATTCGATGAAGTCTGGTTTGGGAGGTTGGTACGTTTGCCATTGTACTCATGAAATCGGTATCCCTTGGAATCGGAAGGAATTCCTACTGATGACAATATGTAGATTGAAGTAGGTTCCGCGAGACCGCTGGTGAAGACATTCGACGTCAAAAAACGGGTCTATTATGGCAATACCAGTATGGAAGCCGAAATATCCCTACTGATGGCCAATCAAACCCTAGTAAGGCGGATCATCGTCTACGCGTGGGATGTGCTTACAGGGCACAGGCTTCTCCGGGAAAGCTGATATACGATCCCTTCATTGGTACTGGCAGTATGGCTTATGTAGGACCGCCCACCTGAACGAGTACCACGCAGGGACGCTGATCTGTCTTCTAGACTACTGCTCACTTCGGCGCCTTCGTCCTCGGCTCAGACATTGACGGCCGGCAATTGAGAGGGAAAAGTCAGAGACCCGGAGTTCATGCACAGTTCTGCAGTGCTCATGATTGTCGCCAGTCAAACCGCCAGGTATCATCCGCGCTGCTGCTCAATACGGCGTTGCCAGCCGCATCGTGGATCTTTGTACATTCGACGTGACCCAGAATCCTTGGAGGTGCGGAAATCTGTTTGACGCTATCATCACAGATCCTCCATGTAAGATATTCATACCTATGTGTTCCACCTTGCCTCATGAGATACCATAGACGGCGTCAGAGCAGGAGCCAAGCGGCTAGGACGGAAGAGCAACCGGCCACCACGAGAAGCTCCAGCGCCTGCGCACACTGAACGGCCGTGAGTGGCCCCTATGTGGTCGTGCAGTTCAGCCTTCTCACCCACACATTCCAGAGACGATCAACCATATATACCACCCATGAAACCGTACGAGCTTTCCGAGTTAGCGCGGGATCTCGTCATCCTTGCTCGGTATATGCTCAAGCCGCGCGGACGCCTTGTGTTCTTCCTGCCGACGGTCACGGAAGAGTATGAAGAGCTTGACGTCCACGCGATGCTCTGTGATGGCATGGAACTCGTTGCCAACTCTCTACAAAACTTCGGGTCCTGGGGTAGACGGGTGTGTATCACGTCCACTTTACATCAAGGAAGATGAGAAGGCTGAAGTCATCGCAGTTGATCACCATCCGCAAAACGACGGCGGAGAGGTACCCGCCTCCGATCTTTGATCCCGCACGCGCTGTCACGGAGGCCATGGACGTCCACGTACCAGCCCATAAGGATTTCCGTGAGAAGTACTTTCAGGGGTTCAAAAAGAGCGATGACAGCATTGAAGACATGCAAATAGGGTGATGGGTATAGGACAACAGGCAGAAACGCATCGTCAGTCGAAGAGCCATGTAGGAGACTCACTACTTCTACAAGTACCCACGAACCATACGAGGGGAGATTATCGTATAAACATATCAGAGTGCAACCAGGAGCATTGAATACAGCGACGAAATTGCCAGGGACAGTAGAAGGATGGCGTTCAGAACACTATAACAGATAAGAGCAATATCACTTCATGGACATCATCAAGCATGCTCTAGTGACTACGATTGTCGATGTAACGTGCGGTTGCGGCGATGCGGAAATTATGCGGGACCACGGTGTGTCTGTTGATATTTAGTCTCTGCGTCAACATACTCAGTGTTCAAGAACGTACTCGTAATATTCTTGAATCTGAGCTCCATCCATGATGAGGACGTCGCCCTGAGTACCGTCAGCAGCGTACGCAGGACCCAGCACAAAAAGTGACATACGTGGTGCAACTGCAGCGTCAAAGCGTTACACTTCATTCCGCCACCAGTGTCCTTGCGATACTTCTTCAGCGGCCGGAAATGCATGACGGCAGATGATCCAAGCGATAAGGACGCGACCCTCGGACCCAGACCGTCCTCCGCATCACTGTGAAACTAGCAATCCGATACCCGTCAGCACTGGAGACGCGCACACGACAACAACGACGACACGACACGAACCGCCATACTCTGCTCTTCCATGTAAGCCGCACTCAGAACTTCGTTGAACCGGTACGGCTGGTTCTCAGCTTGCATGATGCTCATCATGCGGGATTGTATCAAATCGCGCGCTTTGACTACAGCGGACGGTGCAACATCAAAGGGCACAGTGTCCGCCGTCCCACCAACATACTGCGCGAGTAGGATTAGCATATAGATATACGTTGAGGTTGCCACCGTGCTCACCTGGTATGGTTCTCCGGCTGACGAAGTAGAGCGTAAATGCATATTGCTCCCAGTGAAGGAGGGCACTTACTATTATGGGAAAAGTAGTTGGTGAGCAGTTCTCCTCGGCATTGATGCTGCAGTCCATCACGTCAGTCAGCACACGGACGTAACAATACGGTACCTACTCTTTTAAGGGGCCACCTCCGTAATTGGAGTTCACCCGTGCCAGCTTGGTCTTGGTACTCCTGGAAGATCTCGTCGGCCACTTCGTTGGTCCGTGGTGTGCCCAGGATCAGATATATACGCCCCCTGTATAAAGCTTGTATGACTGCAACTCCACAAACGCAGACGGCGGTACCGACCGGTTTTCAGGTAGTATGTAAATATGGTAGTAAGCATGCAGTTCCTCGTCCCTGAAGGGCATCAACTGCGACACTTGGATCCCTGTTGCATTGGATGTGTCGATGAGACCCATGCACCATACAGGTGACCCTTATTGCTTTTGCTTACCAGAGTCCTCTGCGACCTTATGAGTAAGGAAACCTAAACTTTTGTGTGCCCGCAAATCCTTCGGGCTCCTGGCCATGCCAATGATTTGTAGAGTCGCCTGCCGAAGCGGATTGGTATCGACTGCATGCGTGTATGGTCTCATGGCGACTTACCCCACAGTTCTGACATTCCCAATACTGCCACTTATACCTGTCCGACTTGGTGATCTGTGACGGGCAGCAAGAGCAATGTTCGCTCACCTGCACGACAAGCGTCCACAGTCCTTGCAATGCCAGCCTCTGGTGAATCGACGGCTCGTAATGACCCCATCTGTAGCTTCGGTAACAGGGGTCTGGGGAGCGATATCCTCCATCGCTTCGTGGTTGCACTCAAGTGACGCTCTAAGGAACGCCTCTGAATAGGTCAGATCTTGGGGCGGTGATGTACCGTTCATGATCCAGAACGCAACACAGCCAGGATGAAGGCACATCCAGCCTTGTTCGTAGACCCGAGGAGACGCCTTGTGGCATGAAGCACATGGCGAGTACTGTGCTGAGAGGTTGCCGAGCTTAAGCCTGATCTATATGTGGGCTACGCAACAATCAGTAAGGATATATGACCGCTTACGGTGCAGCGATTCTGCAGGCCTCGAGGCCTGATGATCCGTCTTGTTCAATCCACCAAGGCGCTGGCTGCTTGTCACACCATTCGAAGGCGAACTTGTACCGGACCACGAAGCCGTAGTTGTTGTCTGCTGGTTGGCGCTCCGCTTCCGGATCATCGGTGTGACGTCGGCGATAGGTATCGCGGAGAAAAACGGTGCACTCACCCCACGCATGTGCAATATGGTAGAAGCCGAGCACGACATAGGTGCAGTTCGCCTTGGTGGAGAGGTCGTATGGGAATAGTGCATACCGGTCGTCGATGATGAGAACGACCGGGCGACCCATTTGTTGTGTCCGCAGCAGGGCTCTGACCGACTTGTCCCCTTCTTCTTGGTCAGACGCTTTTTGCAGCTTCGTTCGACCCTTGCTATTATGCAAACTCTCCGCCTTACCACCGCTGAGGAGCAAGTCGGCGGCTGTTCCAAGCAAGATGCATAGCAACCAGAATCTGTGGACTCACCCGTGAGATATTATGAGACGACCATCACGAGCGAATATGTCACGACTGTGGGCCGATCAACCATTGCAGAGAAGTCGCTCGGGGTGACTGTACTTACTCGGCCGAAAACGCACTGAGCAGATATCCCTTGACCAATTCTTTGGAGTGATAGACGCCAGATTGATAGCTCCTGAACCAGTCCAAGGACTCGCAGACTTCCTGTCTCGACTGTGGGCGCCAGTCACTATCCTTCAACGACGGCGCATTGTAAAGCTGCCTACCTTTGCCCAGATGATAGGGCGCGCAGTCAATGGTTTTTTGGGGACAGTAGGCGGCGACGGGGGAACAGATCGAGGAACGCGGACACCAACAGGAGGGGCTGAGAGACAAAGGAAAGACATGTGTCAGAGGACAGGCTGAACGCAGAGTGAAGCCAGCCTCACCGGTCGCAGATTTGAATATTGCGTCAGGAATGGGGGGTATATAGGCCACGCCTATATCATTTACGTGGGATGAAGCAGCCTCGGACCCTTGCGCCTGAAGGGTCCGACGAGACGAAGCGACCTGACTGAGCGGGATATCCTCCTCCTCCGAGTCCCCATCATCATCGGAATGTAGCGGCGCATCTTGTACGCCTGGATCGGGTGTCCACTCACCCGCAACGCTCACGGTATTCTGAAGCTCCATCAACGCCCCCGTCGCAAGGTTACGCACCATGCGGTCCGCTTCTGCAAGGTTGGCGGGTATGCCCAGCGAATCTGGAGCGGGGGCTGGGGCCTGCTTCGTCAGCCGTCGTCGTGCCGGACGCTTGGGGAGCTTCAAGATCTTCCGGGAGCCTGAAGGTACTCGGGGAGCGTTCGAAATGCCATTGACGGAGGTGGCGGGGTCCCCGCTAGTCGAGGGAGCCATAGTGGGCGGATCAGTGACGCGCCCTGTAGGCAAAGCGGAAGATGGCGCTGAAGGGGTTCCTCGATGACCATCATCAGACAGACGGACATCGGGATGCGCGGCGAGAGGCTTCTTCCTCCGATGTTCAGTGTGCGATGGGACGCCCTCGGATACTCCGGTAGGGTTCGCCTCAGAGTCCTTCCCTCGATGACGCTTGGGAGGGCGTACCGAACTATCTGCGCCTCTGATATTGCGCTCCCGCTCCTTCTCGTTGCCCTTCTCGCCGCGCCTTGGTTTGGGTCTAGCATATTTTGAACGAGGTATCCGGCGAGCAGCCTCTGGGGCGGCGGGATGCACGGCTATGGAAGCAGAAGTTGGTCCCGACATCCGCTCTGCTTCTCCATGATCCGCAGGAGGTAACATGGGATCGTCGCGGTCCTCAGACGCCGTGCGCACCCTAGACCTCTTGGCCCGCCGGGTAGGCGGGGCTGAAGCGGACTGCTGTGCACCGTTCGCAGGAACTGCAAGATCCTCAAGGTCGTCCACGAGACCACGCTTCGCCTTCGAGTAGTACTTGAATTCGTCCTTGGCAAGCTGAGAGAGTTTCCCGTGGTTAGTGGCGGCGCGAGGCGGACGTTGACGTGTGGGCTCCGTGGGGCCGTCCCTCCGTGCCCTCCTTCCCCGGCCTTTGCCGAATCCGACTGGAGGTTCCGCGGCAGTCGTCCCGCTTACATCGCTTGGCGTCGAAGGACAGACAACGGTAGGAGAGGAGGAGGCACTGTCTGTGCGGTCCCCGGATGCCTGCTTTACAACATTCATAAGAAACCATGCGGAATGCGAGGGCGGGACGAAACCCTTCACCTGGTCGTGCGCAACAGTCATGCACGGTGGCGGATCGTTCTGGGGCTGTGAATGCGCGACCTCGAAGGCCACAGCATCGTGATCCCCACGGAACACAACCACGCCCTTGTCCTCCTCAGGGAAGGTCATAGCGGCCCAAGGGTCGCGAGCATCAGCGTCTGGAGTGTGCGTGAGGCTCCCAGAGGAAGAGAACTCTGCTGTCTGCGCACTCCCGCCACTCTGTGCGGAGGATTTATCTCTCCCAGTGGCGCCGGTGACCATGGTGCCACCATCTGTGGAAGTCGCGTCCGCAGCTTTCCTTGATTTTCCACTGGCGGTGCGGCCTGCAGCGTCTCTCCCGACACTTGTGGTGGGCTTCCTCGGCGCCCTCTTTCCGCGCGAACCGCGCGAAAGTGATGTCTGGGAGGAGTGCTCGTAGGACGCAATCTCTTGTTCTTTCTGTATCTGTGTACTAGCCCTACCAGCGCGAATGCACCCGGAGTTCTGAGGTCGACGTGAGAGCTCGAATTGGAAGCTGAACCCTCGCTTTCGGCGTTCGCGATTGACGACGTCGAGCGCGGCCTGTTCCTTGTCGCTGTACAAGGCCCAGTAGAATCGCACGAAAATCTCGACAGACCCGAGCGACGCGTGGTCGATGTTCTTCGTCTGGGTTTTGCCCTCGGGCGCGAATGCGTATTGACTGCTCCATTGCACCGCTGCTGCGCGCGACTGAACACGTCGAGTCACCGCGTTTACGGGTCATCGAATGGAAGAAGTATGCCAAGGAGCGCAGGTGCACCAACGTCGTTATGATTCACCTTTCCTGAACGTGAGAACGAAGGCCTGCACTCACGCTTTCATTGTCATGGACCTCCTTCGCGAGAGTCGCGATCCAGTTGTCGCCTCTCCGATTCTGGGTAAGGCCGTTACGTATCATGAACTGGCTGAGGAAGGGCTCCTCCTCGAGGAGATTCTTGTCCCAGAGATCATTCGGCGGCTTCATGTCCCCAGTCCCAAGTTTATGCCTCTCTTTGGAAGTCGCAGTACGTCGCGTGCAGGGGGAGATTTAGGGACGGACGGCTCCCGCAGCACCCGGTTGGGATTGGTGGCTGGAGACAACTTCGCCGCGGTCCAACCTGACGCGACTACTTCCGCTTCGTCAATGATCTTACCAAAACCGTGTGCATGAGAAGCCGACGTCAGTTCCACGCGGCTCCGGAACTTCTCGTACTAAATTCACACACAAAGGCGGTACCCGAATGTGAGCGTTATTTGTGTTCCATGGACACCACCGCTACGGATACTGCGCACGTCATGTCTCCATGGAATAAATGACAGATTGCCTCCGAAGCACAACGTTGGGCGCACAGACACGTCCGCGGACTCAGCGAAAAGCAGAGATTCTATGTTACGTGCCAAACATCGCATCACTACGCAACCCTTGCTCTACTTGGAAAGCGCGTGCTGGAGCGCCTCATACACATCCGCCTCAATCCGCGCCTCGACCTTGTCCTCCTCCGAACCGTTGCCTGCCGCAACCTTCAGCGCCTCCTGGAGGTTCGCACGAACGGCCTTCACGAGGGTGTCGTAAGCGTCAGTTTGCACAGACGAAGGCTTTGCAAGGCACGAGGATGAGGACAATACATACCTCTGGTGAGAAGGCATCAAGGGGAGCAGCCTCGACCGCGTTAATGGTAAGCTTGTTGTTCGGGTGAACGGTAGCGAAGCCGCCAGAGACTTGGTATATGAAGAGGCGATGTAGGGTGCAACGAGTGGAACGAGTGGAGTTTCACGGTTTCGAATGAAGACGGACAGAGGACGGATCGAGTAGGGCAGATGAAAGTCAGGGGGTTGCCATACAGTGGGTAAACAAGGACGAGGGGGACGCGTACCGAACCACTTTTTCGACGTGTTACCACCCTCAATAACCTCAACGACACCAGGGCGGAGAGGTTCGATCGTCGGCGCGTGGTTGGCGAGGATACCCATATCACCAGTTGCCGCAGCAAGGTTCACCTGCACGACATCTGCGGAAGTGAAGATGGCCTACATCAACGAAAACAAGTGCCAGGCGCGATCAGAACGAAGTCATTACGTCGCGGTGAGGGTGGAGTGAGCTGTTGCTGGCAGACGCACCTGGTGGGGGAGGACGAGGGACAAACTGATCTTGTCGGCAGCCTCGGCGTAGCCTCTCCTGCCGAGGGCGAAAGTCCTAGGTGCTCTCCGAGCAGCAGAAGTGACGAGACGGAGCGCAGACATTAGTTTTGTGGCAGACCGGGTTGTGCGCAACGACCAGCTCGTCTGCCCGCCGTCCCTACCCCCGGGCAATGCCGGAACGCCCCTTCACGTGCCTGGTCTCACGCCTCCGGCCTCTTGGAACAAGCTAGCGGCAAGCTTCAAGTTCATGATCTCCATTCATATGATAATAACCCAAATCACTATGGACCCCGGACGGGGCCCGCCCCGGTATGAAGCTGACTCCGGGGGAGAAGCGGTACTATTCTCGTCTGAATACCAGCATAACGGTATGGGATGTCCTAACGTAGTACACATTATGCCAGCGCTTGAGCTGATCCGGCCTCGAGCAAATGACTTTCCATCCGAGTCGCTGAATAAGTGCTCAACCATCCACACGAGCCTTAAACGCTCGCAGCGGGGCGAGAGAACAACTCCAATGCATTGACAGCGGTGAGAGTCGATACGTACAAAGACCGCATGAGTCGGGAGTAATCTCCGTCATGGTTTGCTCGCACCTAGTCAGACCTCTGTCTGATAACCATTCAGAGTATATTCCCGCGCATAAGCACTTACGTGATTGAGATCGTCGAAATACGCTGTCTTGAGTGCCACTGGAATGCAGATGGGAGGAAGTCTTGCTTTGAGGAGCGGGATGCAAGCTAGAATACGAGATAATCTCCCATTGCCATCCTGGTTTCGAGGATGTGTTCAATGTCCGTTCAGGCGGTGCCAGCCAGGGTAGAGACTTGCCTCGAAGGGATGGATACTAATGAAAACATGGCTGATCCATGATGCTGCAGCAAATGGATCCATGTCTGGGAGACGCAACAATTCCTGCAGTTCATATCAGTTAGATGGACTTCCGAACAGAACAAAGACCACGTGCGTTGAAACGCGCGCAGAAACCGTTCAGCTCTTGGTTGACTTCGTAGTAGGGGCAGAACTGAACCACAAGTGGATCTTCACCCGGCGACCTAATCCTTCGTATCAAAACGTTGACACAGGTTTCCTGGCGGGTGACTCCAATGTCTAGATATGTCAACCGACTCTCCCCGCCTTCTTGAATCCTGAGGACGCGACTAGAATGCATCAGGTTCTTGTGTAGACGACAGATGGTCTCCACAGTAAGCTGGAAGTTTGGATCATTAATCATGCTGAACACCAGATCGAATGCCTGCGGCGAAGACGGTCTAAGCGAAGAGACAAGACTGAGGCATTGAAAGTATGTACCTTGCGGGTGTCCTGGAGAATGAAGAGAGCTTCGGCCCGATCACGGACAGCCCCGCTCTTGATGTCCTCATTCCCTATTGTCTCTATCTCATTGTAGAACCCAAGTTGAACCAACCTGGTTGTCGCCTAGTCATCCAACATCAGCTTCGCTCATAGGTACTCATTCAGATGACGCACGGACGGATGAAACTCAACCGTGCCCTCAAGTGCATTCGACTCGATGCAGTGGTAGTTGAGGTATCGCGACATCACTTCCTGGGAGTTATCACCTAAGAGCGTCCATGTCGTCTGCAAGAATTCAATCCGGGATCGTTGCAGCCGACAATAGGGGAACGGGTCTTCCGATGTACCCTTGCGCCACCGCTGGCTTGGTGTGAAAAGATGACTGTTATTCATGTAGTGGCGGACTTCAACTTGCGTAAGCTATAGAGAACTCAAATACGTGCAGAGACGCTCACGATTCTCCTTCATCTCGTTGATTAACGAGGCATGGAACTGCTTGAGCCGTGCACCGTAGCCCGCATCACCGAGGTGGCTTTGGAGCTAAGGTCGCTCATAGTGTGAGGCAAGTCATAGAGAGATATCACAACTCACCTTAAGGTACAAATGCAGTGAGGTCAGTTTCCTGTCGAGCGAAAAACGCATGTCTGCTACTCGTAAGAGGAGGAAGGGAACATTTGGATATTTTTCCAGGAGGTCTTCCCATAGACGACCTGTCTTCGCGCAGGCATAATCGTCTTGTGTATCTGCACGAAATGACGCCTCAAGATCCCTTTACTTCTGCTGGAGTGAGGACATCTACTGGGACCGTCTAAGGTGATGCGCCACAATTAGCGACAGGTTACGATGCCGTCCGTATGTATAGCGAAAGAACTCAGGAACGGAACCATACCGAGACGATAGCATGTCCGAGAGTTGTCCTCTCTCTATTTATAAAGCGAGATAGGTGTAGGTTTGTGGGTGGCATCTTGGAACTGGGTGGTGGAAGCAGGGAGCAACTGTAATTATCGTGCTGAGCCACAAACAGAAGAACACACGACGGCCCGATATCTCCGGCCTAAGGAGGTAGCAAGCGCCCAACGGGCGCTCTGTGTTTCTGCCCAGCGACTTCCTACTTTGATATCTGACGTTCACGACAAACTCCTTGTGTCCCAGAGACTCTTCCCCGAGGCGACTGACACTCATAACTCGTGCATTTCGCCTGTTTAGTCCTACATGAATCCTCGGCGACTTTCCGACTCATGACTAGTAGCCTAATGGGGTCGGGGTAGGGTTCGGCAAAGGACGGCGTTTGCCCGCTGGTGTCTTCGAGGCCCCAGGGCTAGGTCCGAGAAATGGCACCTGTACACCGCGTTGGCTCTCCTTGATATCACAACGCGCTGCATCGGTAGTTTTCTATGGTTGCTCGGTTAGCCTAATTCGCCCATGTAAGTTATGATCAGTAGCCCACGCTCACCTTGCCCGCTTGCTTCTGTTTGGCATAGAATGCAAATAAGTCGGCGATCTGTTGCTCCAGACCTTGCCTCTCCCTCTGCAGCCTGGTGACCTCCTGAGTCATGTGAAGGACTTCCCGCGTGAGTTCTTTCTTGAACTCTTCTACGTGTACTGACGTATCGCTTTAACCTCTGTGTAGAAAGGATGCGACGAAGGCTTACTCTGAACGTTGATTGCCGTTGCTTCCTTCATGGCTTCGACGAAGCGCAGACGCTCTCCGCGGATGTCGTTCGATAGTTCTGGCACGATAGTTAGTCGTCGGGCAGGCGACCATTAAGGATATCCGCACCTGTGGCCAGTGCCTTCAGCATCCTCTCTTGGTCCTGGCGCTGACGATCGATCATCCCAATGACGGATTCAGTCGCTGAATGCGCTATCAGCAACTCATGTACCACCATATACAAGAGTACGTACTGAGCATATCGCGTGCCTCGGCATTGTGCTTCAGATCCTCCTGTACGGCGGCAAGCAGGCCGTTTACCGAAGTACATAGGTTGGCAGCGTCCTGCTCGCGATCCTGATTCTGCACCAGGAGGCGTCTGATGTCGGAGAGTAGGCTGCCTTGCATAGGTCCCGTCTGCTCTCTATCGGAAGGGCTAGTTCCGCTTTGCAGCTCGGGTACTGGACCTAGCTCTCGGCAGAGCTGTTGGACGCCGGCAGCTACTCCTTCTATCTGCGACGTGCCGTGCTTGACGAACGCCTCGAGCCACTACTGTGGTGTCAGGTAATACGATTATTCAGATATACTGGGATGCGCACCGTATTAAGCTCATTGAGGTAACGGATGCTGTCCGTTTGTTGCTCCATTTGAGCAGTACGCTGTTCTCGCGCATCGTTCAGGAGAGCTACGACGTCTCCCAGCTGTGTCGCTCCAGTAGCATTGTCGGCGTCCGGGACCACTGTCTGTCCGTTTTCTGGGTTGTGGTGTGTCTGTTGAAGCTGAAGCACTTTATCCAGTTTCTCCTGCAGCTCGACGAGCCTCGAAAGATCTTGATCGCCCTTGATCCCCTCCCCCTGCTTCTGTGAGTCCCTGATCGCCTCGAGAGCCGTATGAAGTGCTGAGAGATGGTCCTTCAGCTCGACTTGGACCAGTTCCAACTTCGCCATGACCGCCGTGGCATCTTTCGACTTTGTTGCTGTCAGAGACTTGGGTAGACGGCGAAGCTCCTCAAGAGCCTCGTCGACGTTCGCGCGTATACTCGCGATGTTTGTTCCGTCCGCCGCTGATCGCCCTTGCAGGACCTCGATGCCGCGCTTGATATCCTGTAGCAGTGGCTTGGCTAGAATTTCTGAGCCCGGGGGCGCCGCTACACTGTCGACTCCGGACGTCGTAGAACCAGCAGGTGGTGCTAGTGGAAGGTCGACCAACTTATACGTACGTGGTGACTTTGCGTATTCCCTCGACTTCAAGCCTTCCTGGTTGCCGTCGTCCACCGAATATTGAGAGGCGGGGGAGAACAGTCTCGCGTTTCGGCGCCTCTCCTCGCTCTCCGTTTTGTCGACTCGACTGCGTGGTCGCGGAGGCGGCGATCCCATCCGGGACGCAGCCGCATCTAGCCTGCTCGGCCGCGCTGACACTGGCGACGCCCCCTCATGCGACCCCAAGTAGGAGTTCAAGATCGACGTAGCGACGCTCGACGCCGAGCTCTCCTGCCGCCTCAGATGTGTCGTCAGGATCTCGCTCTTGACATACCGGCGCGGCATCGGCGACAACGGAGTCGAGGGACGGGGATTCGGAGACGCGCTCTCGATCTGGGCGAGACGCTGCTTAACCACCGAGCGCTGGTCGAGGTTGCGGATCGACGGACTCTGGGTACGTGTGGGGCTCTGGGGAGAGGTTGGGGAGGTGAGGAACGACCTGCGCACGCTCATGGGTGTTGGGGGCATTGGAAGAGGCGACAGCGCGGACGACGATATCGACAGATTCTGCAGGTCAAGGCGCGGAAGGACGGGTGGTTTGGAACGCTCTGACGGGACTGGAGGAAGCTCGCGATCCATCTTGGAAATGCGTGAGGAAGGAGAGGCGTGACTCGGAGTTCCTCCTACAACCATTATCGCTGAGCCTGACGGACCTTGCGTAGCAGGGCTTGGCGAGGCGAAGTCTTCCCGAGCCGGGACACGGGCACTCTCGGACCTGACAGGCGAGAGCATTCTGTTCTCCTGAGCCTGCAGGACTGCGTCCCTATAGGACACCCGCCGTGAGATCCCATGATCGATGAGCACGGAACAGCAACAACGTACCATACCGCGCTGACCCACATCGCCCTCTCCGTTAGCGAGTGCGCAGCGAACTTCTCCCTCGCGCGGCCCTCGAACAGGAGCTCGAACACCTTCCACGCCTCGTCCGCAGGCAGCAGCCCCCGCTCCTCAGGTTCCAGGTCCACAGGGGCCAGCGAGCGCACGTCCGTGCACGCGGTGAACGGCACGAGCCTCGGCGACGGGTTCCCCTGCGGGGTGTCCCACATCACCAGGATGTGCGTCGAGTGCAGCTGCGCGGTGCAGTTCATCCATACCGGCGGGAGGTCCGAGTCGGGGATGCGCGAGAGGTACAGGAGCGGGCCCGCCTTGCCCGTGTGCCCTTCGACCGGCGAGATGCACACCACCTTCTCGTCCGTTCCCCCTCGCGCCGCCGGCGGGATCTGCAAAGTCAGCGCGCCAGGCTTCTGCTGCCGACGCGCCTGCGCCTCGTCCTCCGCTGCCCACTTAGGGCTCGGACTCGGATCAAAAATGCGCGCGTTCGGCGGGTTCGGGGGTAGGTCCTTGAGCGTCGGCTTGTGCCTCTTGAACACCGAGAGCAGGTTGCGGAACGACTCGCGGATCGGGAGCCGGCCCTTGTCCTTCTTCTCCCCCTGGGGGCTCCTGCGCGCAGCGGTCGCCCCCCGCCTGTCCGCCGCCGCGAGGCCGTAGCCGAGCGAGGGGCTCGAGCTCGCGGCGTCGTCGAGCGCCTCGAAGCGGCCTATGAGCGCCTTCGTCGTCCCGCGACGGGACAGCTGGCTCGTTCCGGGGCTGGAGGCCTCGCTTGGGGGGCGAGGGAAGTAGGATCCTAGGCCTTCTCCTGGGCTGCCGCTGTCGCGGTATGCGCGCACCCCGGAGCGAGACGAGGTTGCGCTGGACGGAGAGCGGACGTGAACGCCACCGGCTACGTTCGACGCTAGTCGTGACCTAGACTTGGGTCCATTTCCATGCGGCCCTTCCTCGTCGTAGGGCGTGTTCACTGACGAGGACTCGTTTGTGGCCGAGCTCAATGCACTCAGCGTTTCGGGCTGAGAGTACAGTGAGGACATGTTTGCAACGAGTACCACGTGCGGCACCGACGGGTTCTGCGCCGAGTCTTTTTCGTGAGGCTGACGTGTCAGCCGCACTCGTAGAACTTAAGATGTTCTACTATGGTGTCAGTTCAGTACGCACTGCTATGCATCACGTCTCACTGAGCCACTGCGGTCTGCTGGAGGATTTGATGCTAACAAGAATGTAGTCATAGCAGTAGGAAGTAGACAGCATGCCAAAGAGGTTTGTTGACCTGCGGCCCAATGCATAACACAATTGTTGCGGTCCTATTGACAGCGCCTACAAGTACAGTAGTGTACACACCAAGCAACTATTGACATGTCCGACACTTGTTCACTTCGAAGTCATACCCTGGACGAGTTGGATCTGGTCGAGGTTATCAGCAAGATGTGGGGGTACAGATGTGTACGTCAAGTCAGCGCATACACGCACCTCATCTTTAGTGATAGTCCTCAACTCGCCAGGCGACGCAGTGTTCCCAGTGGCAGCGCTATATGCGACGTCCACAGCACGTCCGACGGTCCCCCGGTTCGACACCCAGTAACGAATCTGGTCCGGGATGACTTCGATGACCGCCACCCGTGGATCGTTCTGGTCACCCTTGTGGATGCCGTCGCCAAGGTCACCGAACCAAGCAGCGACCCTGTCGTGCAATGTCAGCATGCTGAACACGGTGCTAGGCGCAGAGAAGAAAGATATACGTACAGGTGGCTCCAGTGCTTTGCAATAAGCTCTTTGTCCTGGGAGATCCTCGCCCTGCCGGCATACGAGGCCCAGTTGGTGGTAGAGGGGTCGTAGAACGAGACATTGACGTGCGAGTCGTTCTCGATCTCGTCGAATTTGTGCGTCACGCGGTTTCCGATAAAGATGAGCGAGACCTGGTTATGTTCCACAGCTGTACAGCGAGGATTTCGGCCAAGCATTTGTGAGACGCGGCGAAGGCGAGGACGAGGGGAGGTACTCACGACCTGCGGGAGCCATGGCACGCGAATGTATCTCGCCACTAACAGAGCGGCTGGCGAGCATGCCCGTCTTCACGCTCTTGACGATTGCGCGCAGACCGTCGATCTTTTCCTGGGGCGAGACGTTGTGACTCTCCGCCTGAGCGGAGTAGGGGTCGAGCTCCTTGTTTGTGGACATGATGAGGAGTGAGTTCGAGTTGGATGTAGGAGTCGTGTAGAAGAGTAGGTGCGCTGGGGGCAGCTGTCTATGAGTCCGGAGTTTGGGTATTTATGCATGGAGAGGCGACTGGATGGGAGACTGACGTTGGGCTCTGACATCATACGTCGATGGTGTCCGTCATTTAGTTCATGTTCGGCTCGCATCCTGGATATAGCCCACACTCACCTGGTCCCTTATACAGTACTTGGCATGCGACCCGTGCCATGAATGCATGACGTGTGGCAGTATAGGAAGAACACCTCCCGGGACCAGACGTGCTCGAACCGCGACACGGTACGTTTAGTGACGCGAAAGTACGTACTTTTGCAGATCACTCTAGGCAACGGTCCGAAATAGGCCTCCTGTGAGCAGCTCCGAAGAGGATTTCCCAATCTGTTTGGCAGGTCGGGGCTTGCACCCAGCACTCCACCTGGAGCTCGCAGGTCAGGTCCAGCCATTTCCCCGCCTGCCGGGCACGCATTACATGATCGAGCTCGACCCGGCCGACCGCAGAGACCCAAACAACAGCCTCGTCGTCGTCGCCGGCGACGATATATAGGAACCGTCGGAAGGAGATGCTGCGGGTGCCAGGCGACGGGAACAGAAAGAGATCGACCGCGAGCGGAGGGCAGGGCAGCCTACCGCGAGGTCGATTTGGCAACGGGCGCCAAGCCCGTTCGCAGGGTTCGATTTTCCGGAGGCTTTGTCTTGCGCCCGCCTCTCAAAAAGCTCATCAGCACGCCCTTGTTTTCCCCCAAACATCCTTCTCGACTGCTTGCTTGCTCGTCGTTGCCACTAGTCTCTGCTCTATTGCTACGCACCATACCCACGTCCACGGTCTCAGCTTCCTCCACGCAATCTTGTAACCCACATATACCGCTCCACGACAATCACGCTCCACCGTAACGCCATCCAAATAGCACTCTGACACTCACGACACCTCCAGACCCATCCCAACTCCAGACCGACCCAAAGCCTCGAACCCGGACTCAGAACCAGATTCAGCATGTCCGCCACGCTGGGTTACTCTTCCTTCTTTTCCTCTGGCCTCCTCGCACCGCATACTCCAAGTGCTCAGGCGCCTCGCGAGCCATCCCCGTCTACTCCTCGGGCGTCCGTAGCCAATCTCCCGGCCGATGACACTACGCCTACTGCGCATACAACCACAACCCACGCGGTACATGAGTCCCAAGTGCTCCCCTCGATCTCCATTCCAGCGGCAGACGACTCTCGACCGCGTCTCCGGCGTCGACGGTCCTCTCTTGCGGGGTCCGCATCCCCGCTCACGAACATAAAATCGTCGGGGCCAATCCGCAATGCCACCGCGTCGGTACAGCGCAACTTGCGTGCGCGGTCAGGAAGCGATGCGAGCGTCCTGTCGACTGCGTCTGCCGCTTCTGCTGCAAACGAGAACAGCAATACAAACACTGGCTCCAAGCCAACAGGCATCATTGGCAGGCTTCGCAGCGGCAGCCTCGGGACTGCACTTCGGTAAATCCTCTTAGCCACTGTGGCCATCCTCGTAACATATTGACTGATTCTGTTTTCCACGCATCTGCCGCCTCCTTCACGCATCCGCCTCCTCTCTTCACACTGTCTCCATCAGCCCGCGGAGAGGACTGCGCCGCGTCGCGCCACCCGTCCCCGCCCTACCGCCCCCCAGCGCGCCCCTCCCAGCGGTGCCCGCGCTGTCGAGCTCGCCCACTTCGCCCCTCTCGACCATCGTCGGCAGCCCGACGTCGCCCGCGTCCCCGCGCCGGCCGCTCGCCCGGCGCGCGCAGACGTCCGACAACTACGAGCTGACGGCGTCGCCGTTCACCGTCGCGGGTTCGTCGCCGATGTGCGTCGCGGACGACGAGGACGCGTTCGCGGCGAGCGTCGCTGCGCTCGGCAAGCGCGCGCTGCAGGATGATATGCAGGTCGACTACCCGAGCCCGGTCGACGGCCCTGTGTCCTTCGACTGGGGCATGGCGCGGAACTAGATTCGGCCGCCGATGTTCTCTTGTGACGTACGACATACTACTACTACATGCCGGTGCTCCTGGGGAGTGCTGGACGTTACCCGTTCCTCTTCTGTTGCCTATATCTCGCCACTCGTACTCTGAACTTTTCGACGACGGACCTTTTACTCTTCTGAATCCCGACTATGCTCATTCCTGTCTATCCCACTCTCCGTACAGTTGGTGATGCTAATGGCCCCGATTACGCATGTTACATACATCCGCATATATACCTACCATACTGTACGATGACTAAAATACCGTCGTTCGCGCGACTTGAGGCATGCCTCCGGGTGCGACGATGGACTACTTACGTATACATACCGCTATATTGTTACATTACCCCTGCTTCGTGTTGACAATTGACCATGACTTTTCACGTAATCGCACGTCTCTGCGAGATCATGCATGCGAAAGTGTACGTACGACGTGCTTAAGATGTGTCGTGATTTTGCGCGCGGGACAAAGATTTCCTGGGGGTGTAGAATCCTCCTCATGCATCAGCACAAGAAGGGCGACTCAGGCGTGATTGTAGAATACTGAGCGGAATCGCAGTAATCATTGCGCGTGAATGTGGCGATCGCCCCATTTCGGATATCTAGACGCCGATCCGGGCACCCCCTCTGCAATTCCCAGTCTCAGCACCCTCACCTTCGGTCGAGCACCTGATCTCAGCCGTTATACACCGCATGTGGCACTGTCGTGCTCAACCACGATTGTGGTGCCTGGGGCCACGAACTTCGATTCTGCGGCTTGAGCGAGATGACAGCGGGTTGCGAGCGGCAATTTGAGGCCAGCTCAGGCTCTTAGCCTGAGGCACCTATTGCGAGGTGTGATGTCAGGCACAAACCTCTGGGGGCCTTTTATCTACAGGATGGATGGTGAGCGCGCTGTTTGGTCCCATTCCGCTAGTTCATTTACTCATGTCTGGCTGATCAGTGACAGTAGTTCCGTTCTAAGATTGACCGCCCGCACAACCTGCTACTATGTCACAGCGTTACGAAGCACGTGAGTAAGGCGTCAAACTAGTTAAGGCGATGAGTTAAGTCGACAAGTCCATAGAAATGTTGTACCGACGAGTCGACAGCAGATGGGAGGGAGGTATAAGGACGAATATAGAAGGGGATAGTATAGACAATAAGTGAGTGAATAAAGATGGGTATTCATACGAACACGCATGGAAAAGTGAGGTGTTAGTCCTCCGAAGCAATGCCTTCCCGGTCAAGCTCCTCAAGAATGTCGTTCGGGAGGACACGGTGGCTGTGATACTTCTTGGCTGCCCACGCCGCCTGCTTCCCATTGAGACCGCGACGATAGGCATCCATAAAGCGGTGGGCCCGGGTGTAGAACCTATGCCAAAAAAGGCTCGGTAAGCGCTCAGTAAGTCGAAAAATAGAAACTGACCTTCGGATCGTAAGAAGCGGGATTGTGTCCAGTGCGGCAAGAACATTCCTTTCGAGATCAGCTTCTGCCGAAGATGACGGCATTTCTCGGTACTTCCGCTTCGCAAATCCCCAGCACTGCTCGATACAATTGAGCTCACAGTGGAACTTTGGCAGGTACAGCACATCAAACCCACGAGACCGGCAGTGGGTCTCAAGCAGGGTCTCGATGTCCCGGAAGTCCGGTTGATTGTACAGGAGCCGTCGGACACAGCAGGACAGGGCAGGGGGTTTGCACTTGAATCCAGTGCACTCCCTTGGAAGGCCCGTGAGAGTGTACCCACGCTCTGTCAGAATTTGCGCCATTCCCTTGAAGACGCCAGCGCGAGAATGTCCGGGCTCAAAATAGAGCGACTGCGGCTTCCCATCGAACCATCCGTCTGCCATGGGGACCTTCACCTTGTGCTTTCTCCCCTCCATGTCGGTCGTTGTCTGCTCCACCCCGAAGAGTGGATTGCCTGGTTTTGTTGGGTAGAGGGACATCTTGTTGGCAGAGAGCGCATCAGCAGCACGCTTGAGGTGAGTAGGTGCGTTGTCGAAGAGGAATACATGTTGCTCATTGGGGTAGTGTTTCGACAGGATGTCCATGGCAGTGGTGGCATGCGTGAGAATGTCTTCATGCGTAAAGTAGCTGTCTCGATTTTTTCCTGGCCAAAACTTGACTCGTGCTGACTCCTTTCCATCAGGAGAGCGCAACCAGCCGTACTCTGCAGAGACGAAATCGGCAACCATCAAAGATGCGCCCTCTCCTTTTACCCGTGGTACTGCCTTCTCTGACTTGTGCACCCAGCGTTGAGTACGGCGGTCATGAGCGTAGAAGACGGACTCATCGTGGTGCCAGTAGACGACCCGCCGATTATGAGGGCGAGGTGAGTCCTCTGGAATAGGGACCTCTGTTCCATCCCTGTTCCACTGACGTGCTGAATAGTCGTAGTCCGCAATTGCAGGTAGGAACTTGGACTGCCGGTACTTG